TGTCCTGCTCTGACATCCAGGAAGGTCATGCGCTGATACCCGGCAGTGGCATCCACCAACTGATCAACATTTGGTAGGGGGTAGTCGTCCTTGGGACATGCCTTGTTCAAATCAGTGAAGTCTATGCAGACACGCAATTTTTTTTCCTTTTTCTTCGCACAGACCGTGTTTGATAACCATTCTGGGAATTGCACCTCCCGGATAGTATTGACCTCCATGAGCTTATCGACTTCCTCGTTCACCACCTGGGCGTGATCTAGCGCCATGCGCCGTGGCTTCTACTTTACTGGCTTACGTGTCAGGTCCACATGTAGCTTATGCGTGATTATTTCGGGGACCACCCCTTTCATTTCCATATATTTTCAAGCGAACACGTCTGCATTTTGTCTTAAAAAGTCAGTCATTTCCTCCTGTTCGGCTGTAGGCATTGCGGAGCCAATCAGGAAGTATCTCTCCTCTTCACCGTCTACTAAGAATACCTTCCGAAGATCCTCTACCGATCAGTCCATTGGGTCAGTTCGGGGGTCATTCACTCCCGGATGCCCGGACTATGATTGTTATTTTTTCAGGATTTCCTCTGGGGTGCGTCCCTTCTCTTGGGTGAAGACCCCCGCCCTCACGACTGAGTAAAAACAGTTTTTTGCCGACGCTTGTTCCCCTCGGATCTCCATTATTTCTTCTGGTGTAGCAAACTTCAACTTCTGGTGGTAAGTGGAGTGCACCGCCCCCAACGCATGCAACCAAGCTCGTCCCATGATCACATTGTAGGGAGAGTCCGTATCAATTACGACAAACTCAATGTTGATGATGAAGGGACATGTGACGACTGACAATGTAATTTTGCCTATGGGCAGAGCAAATGAGCCGTTAAATTCGATGAGGGGTGTCCTAACCTTAGTGAGGTCCTTGAGGCTAAAGTTCATCCGCTTTAAGGTTTCGGAGTACATCACCTCCGAGGAACTCTTGGAATCTATCAACACCCTCTTATCATCAAACTTGCCTATTTTCAGAGTTATGATTAGGGCGTCGTTATGGGTAGTCACCACCACGCCTGCCAAGTCCACGTCGGAGAACATGATACCCGGCTCGCCAGTCCTGGCCCTCTTGCTAGGAGGGCTACCCTCTTGAGGTCGGACTCAAGCTCCTTGGACGTCGGCCGATCTAGTGGACACACATGGATTACGTATATGGCGTTGTCTTGCGCCACGGTCGGGGCAGAGGCATGTCCCTCCTCCGACTTGGACTCAATGTACTCCTTCAAGTAACCGTCCTGGACCAGCCTTTTCAAGAAAGATTTGTACGCCCTACAATCTTTGGTGCGATGACCGAAATTTCGGTGATAGGAGCACCTGACTTTTTGATCACGGGTAGAAAGATCACTCTGCATCCTAGGCGGCCACTTGAAGAATGACTCATACTTGATTTTATAGAGCAACTTGTAGATGAGTTCTTTGAACATAGTGTGGACACCTTTAAATGGCCCTCTTGGAGGGGGTACCAGCCCCTTTCGGGAGGTGTCCTCCCTTTCCTTCTCTTTTCTCCTAGGGGCAAAAATTTTGCCTTTGCCACCCCCCATTTCATCTTCAATCCTGGAGTATTTGTTTATCCGGGCCATCAATTCGCCCATATCTAAGGGAGTTTTCTTAGTTAGGGATCGGTAGAGGTTCATGTCCCTTGCCAGGCCGAGCCTAAAGAATGTGGCTACCATGACTTTCGAACACCCCTCTATCTCATTGACTTCCTCCCAGTACTTGATGGCGTACTGGCGAAGGATTTTTGTTTCCCTCTGCCTGAGGGTCAGTAATGATCCAATATCTTTGAGCCGTTTACTCCCTGTAATGAATCGGGCTAAAAACTACCTCGTCAACTCCTTCCATGACCCAATGTCGTTGGAAGGAAGAGTCTCGAACCACTTCATAGCGGAATCTCCTAAACTTATGGAGAACACTCGGCAGAGGAGTCGTTGGTCCGAGTGATAGAGGGACATCATTTGCTTGTATTGTCTGAGGTGAGCTTCGGGATCAGATCTCCCATCATAAGTTTTGAACCTTGGCACGACAAACTTCTTTGGTACCTCCATCTCTCGAATATCCCTAGTAAAAAGGGATTGCATTGCCTCGTCTTCTGTGTCGTCCTAGACGGTCTTGCCCCTTCTTCTGGATTCCAACCGAGCTCTGAGGTCAGTTTCCACCTCAGGGGGATGTCCTCTGAGGTTTCTAAGGTCGTTGACGGGGTTCCCCTTCTCTGAGCGTCGTGTGGAAAGGGTTGAATCCTCCTCGGACTCGTCCCCTTTCCCGCGCCTTGACAGGCTTCGCCGAAGATCGTCCCAAGCCAAAGGCCTCGCCTTCCTGGAATGACCATCGAGGGGGTGCTCATTGGCTCTTGGGCGCTTTGGGACCCTGGAACTCTCAGCTTTGTTATTCAAGTGATTTTTCAGGTCCTCAATTTCTGCTTCCCGGACGGAGCGTCCGCGGGAACGGAATGAGTCGCTTGATCCATCGCCGGGGGCTGCAAATTCGTTGAGTCAGCTTATGATATTCACATTATCTTTTTCTAACTGTCGTAGTCGATTCCCAAAATTTTTTTCGATCACTTCCGCTAGTTGACGAGCGAAGGGGGCGGATCCTCCTAATCCAATGCCCATACTAGTTAGAGGAGTATGCCCCTTGACTGAACAGAAACGTTCCTGTTGTCACTAGTGTGATCCCTCCCCCCGTCATAATGAGGAGCTTGTAACTCGAGACTTCTTTACTGGGGACCTTTCCCTTTCTGTTGAGTATTTACCATGGTCACTGTTTTTTCTAGAAATTGAAGTAGGAAACTAGTCGTTTCCCATAGACAGCGCCAGATTGTGCGTGCACGATCCTGCACAATATAAACACGAGAACAGATCTCTTCCGTGGTGAACACGAGTCTGTCAATCGAGTGGTCAATCTTACTATTTGGAACAGGTTGTGAGGGCCAAAAGTGGCCAATAAAGTGGTGACGAATTATTTTTAGGGGTCACCTGAGTGATCCTGGAACAAAAAAAAATAAGTTAGAAGGGCGCCGAAGTGTTTTTTGGCGTATCCCCTCCGACGATCAAATCAGTTTTTTGAGAGAGGAGAAGAAGAAAACATTATATGATGCTTGAGAAAGGGTTTTTTTCGTACCTCTTTTATGTGTTTGTGAGGACTATTTATATCTTAAAAACTCATCATTGCTGACAGCGTAGCTAGTAGGTAATCATTGGAGGTGGACAGTGTGCACACCAATTTCTATGAGTAATGTTCTTATTTTTAATTGCTCGGAACCCCGAGCAACTAATGCTTTCTCCTCGGTCTGTCGAATGTTTAATGAGCTTCCCTCGGCAGAGGTGTATTAAATGTTCAGGCTTTGAGACATTTATTACCTTTCACTTCCAGGCTCTCATGCATTAAATGTTGTCTCATCAAGGGAATGGTGCATTAAATACTTGTTTTCCCAAGTCGTGTGTTAGCAAGGACATTCTGATCTTTTTGTCTCTGATCTGACACAATACGCCATGTGTCCATTTCCCCTTGGTTGAGCCTTCTGCTTTCTTGTGTCTCCTGACACCATTTGAGTAAGACGAGGTTATAATGACTAGTCTAGCCTAGTCTAGGCTAGTGATCTGTCCATCAACAACCCTGCAAGAGCATAAATGCTTCGTAGACGGATATACCTCAGTGCCGAGGGTCCAGCATCGTTAGGGGCCGATGTACCCAAAATTGACCAAAGGATACATGTCGGTTTATGGGATATTGGGGATCCTTGATCCTTGTGAATAGTATCCTCGGGGGAAGGGAGATTATGGACCGACGCGCACGTGTCGTGATCTGGTCGATGAGTATCCATTGACGTCGAGAACACGTGTCATCATTTTAGAATATTTGAAGATGTCCCATCACCTCCCACTTGTGGCGGGGGTTCCTCCAGCTCCACCCTAGTGTCCAATTGTAGGACCCCTAAATTGGCAAGCATATCAGCACACTGGTTTCCTTCCCCGAGCGTGTGAATAATTGGAATGTTGTTATTAGACATCAGCTTCTTGCATATCGGCATTTATCCCTTGTCACCCATGCTTTTAAATGTGCTGATTTTCAATATTGATTCATTTCTTCCATCCTGCCTTTGAATTTTGATCCTCTGTTTGAAGCTTTTCATAATTGTAATTCCATTCCCAGTTCCATTATAATCGAAGGCGATTAGTGAAGTATTATTTTCCTCAGTATACAAAGCTATTCTTTCTTGTTATTGATGGATGCCCGTTACCTTTTTTTTTCCCCTTTCAGCAATCAAGCAAATCTTTGCACAAGATGGCAGGCAATTATAGGGCTTGACATGAGAAAACTACCGTTTGCATTACGGGAAACAGAACTTCACTGAGGACTCCGGCAATATCGTCTTTATTTGATTTATGGGATGAAAGCTTTTATCTCATCAAAAAGACGAACTTGCAGTCATGGATGAGAAAAAAAGTTGAAAGCCATGAGACATGAATTTTTCACACACAAAAAAAAAAAAACATTTTAATTTCACAAATTGTTGAAGTTAAGTTTTCTAATCACAACCCATTATAACTACTATCCCAAACCCAACATAGTTTATACTACAGCAGTATGAATTTCAAATTAGACTTTCAAAACTCAATAGGCAGCTTAAGTATAGCTTCTGGTTCCGATTTTGAATTTCTTCATCAACGAGTTCTTCCAGACTTCTCACTGGGGAATCTACTACCCAAAAGTCCTCATACAGAGGACAAAATGATTCAAACTCGTAACCTTGAGGTCCAACTGCAAAGGCAGTGGCCATTATTAAGCCTACCCCTAACATCACGCATAGGGGTTCTTAAAATCTCAATGTGGCGTACAACCTGAATATCTTCCCAGAGTCGATGAGTAACACCAGATAAGCTTTAAAGCTCTCGTACCAATTCTAAATATTCAACTTCTGCGCCAAATTAGGTGCCCATTATAAAGGAAGGAAACAAGACCAGCACATGATATTCAAAACAAAACCTTAATAAATATCAAAATTGTATGATGAATCGTCCAGTTCATGAAGGGGAAAGAAAGGGGAGGGGAACCCATCATCACACTTTGATCATCACAATTTTCCCCGGGACTTCCCAATTATATATAGAGAGAGAGATACCAATAATAATAAATCGCAGAAAATCTCACAGAACACCGAAACACCTCTATAGATCTAAATTCTAAACTCAAGACCCATCCAGATACTTTCCTGGAGTTCTTTCCCGTTGCCAACTAGAAGAATGTACGAGGTAAAACGATGAAACACTTTATGCACGCCTCAGAATCTCTCTCCAAACCGGAAGAAGATTGTGCCAGTCCCAGAGTTATGATCCACAGCATACTCTGCTCGTACTAGACCTAGCTTGACTCCAACACCGTATGAGGAACCATGACCCATTCGCCTGTATACCTCTGTTGGGTTTCCCTTGACATCCTTTGAACTTCCAAGATCATTCCCATGTTCAGCAAATCCATAAACGTGTGTGTTTCTAACAGGAATCCGTAGCTCCGTAGCAAGCTGAAGATAGAATAACAAAAGTCATTATTAGCACAAGGATTTTTCTAACATATAGGATTTTGCGCCCAAGGAAAAGGCCCTTCATTAGAAAAAAAAAAAAAAATTATCAAACCTATGTTTCACCCCTTTATATTACATAAACCATCATCTCTATAAATCGTTCTCTCTTAGTATGAACAACATGCAAATGATGAAAGCAACACTGAATACAGTGATCCATACCTCAAGGATATTTCTGGCTGCACCTATCTCTCCCATGTTGTAACCCCTCACTGAATATGGTCCACCAAGTGTAAAAGCATCATAACTAGGAAGGTCTCCCACACAACCACCATAATGCCCATGAAGGACTAGCACGGGCGGTGGTGGTTTCCCAGCACCTTCCTCCACTTGCTTTAACTGGATGAATTGGGTCAGTGTTAGCTGGTGGCGGTTAAAGAATGGAAACTTAGTGCCGATGCCAAGGCCTTGGTCAAGCTGTCATTCATATAAAAAAGGTGCACGTTAGAAGCTACTGTTACTGCTTTTTGCACATGAAGCTCACCTGGAGTTCAAGAAACCATAAATATTTCAAAAACAAACCAAAAGGAAGGGAAAAAAGAATCTAATTCTCAAACTGACTGACAATAATCTAAGAAGTTATGCTTCTCAATCTTTGACAGACAAACTGCCTCCATAAGGCAGAAACTTCTGCATAAGATTTAAATAACCAAATTTAGATATATCCTCCAAATCCAAATGCAAACACAGCCCAGTGCGTCTAAAACACAAAAAGAGCATTCCTCCAAAGAGTCATCACAGCCCATCAATAACTCGATTAGGGTTTAGAGAACAATGTCCCCAAGCATTCTTTAGAACATGAGTAAGCCAGCTTTTAAAATGTCAAAACAGAGACCTTCAGAATCAACTGAGATTATCAGGCGCAATGCTATTAAACAACCAATCTGCTGTGCTGATGGTCGCAATTTTGTACGGTGAAAAAATTTGTTACACTGAAGTGTACCAAAAAATGAAGCACCAATTCAGATAAACCACCAAGCAGTATACAAAAATTAGTAAATGATTAGTGACAAGCATACTGCCTATCAAAATTGTCAGCACTTATATCACAGGAATTCAAATCACTAATCCGACAATTATAAAACTAACGACATTCAACTCAATTCATCAAAAAGTAGAAATGAGAATTTGTCAGCACTTATATCACAGGAATTCAAATCACTAATCCGACAATTATAAAACTAACGACATTCAACTCAATTCATCAAAAAGTAGAAATGAGAATGCATGACACAAATACAACTTATCACTCACCTGGAACACATTCCTCTCTCCAACAATTGCTCCATTTACAAATTTGGTGTTATCCCTTGTGATATTTGCTTGTGCAAACACCATTCGATCAATACCAGTGCCACTGAGGGTTGTTGGAGGTCCATCTGCGCTAATTCCTCCACTTGGCAACACCCTTTGACCATTTGCAGCAATGTGACTGCTTTCATCACGTGTTGTTATCTCTTCCATCACAAACCCATAAGTGAATTTGCTCTGCCGGGTGAAATTCTACAACGTACATATCAATCAGAATATCAATACACAAAAGAGAAAAATAACCTCCAAGGACTAAAACCATTAACAGTGCAATATACTTCTGTTAGATTGGCTTTCATTCCAGCTCGATCAACCCATATAGGAGGAACTTCATCTACTCCTGGTCCACCTGTGAATACTGGACTCAGTTTTCTGCTGTTAAAGCAGCTTGCACGGAAAGTACGGTTGCGAGTATTATATACACCATCAAAATATGGATGCACGTACTCAAGTTTAAAAGCAAGATCATCCTGTTGAAATATTTTGAATAAACGTTATCAAGATACAAAACTTACGAATGAGAAGAATAATCATTTCGAATAAAGGACGTTAAACTAATATCAAGGAAACATTACCTGAGGATTGAGGAAGTTGCTAGTTGTCACCGAACCAAGAATGGACCTGTTAAGCCCTTTGAGATTCCGATGCTCAAAGGACACAGTTCCACCAGGCTGTATTGAAGCCTGAACCCCATTGTAAAGAAAAATGACCATTTAGCATTAGAACATCAAGCTCACACAAATTGAATGGAGATTAGAATCACTTATTAAACTCAAATACCAATGTTGGGCGACCACCACGTCCGGGAACAATACTCCACTCCGTACTGACTTCAGCTGATTTCTGTTCCAGTTCTTTAAGCTTAATTTCTACAATGATTCCCCCTTCGTTTTTTTCGTCTGGTCTTGGATTGACTTCGATATTTGAAAAAAGAGCAAGCGAGTTTATGTTCCTCAAGGCTTGTTTACCTGCTTCTATGTTAAAAACATTCCCTGGCCGAAGCTGTGAAGCCAATACACACATTTCAAAGACCATCTTTTATACCCAACCAAACAATGTCAAACAACTGTTTGGCCTAAAGAGAATTATCGAATAAAAACACAGCAAGTCCAGGTTGACAAAGAACCAATAACAGCAGAATAGATACGTAACAAAAGAAATAGATTACTAACAAAGGAAAGCGGAAAACATAAAAACAGACCATGCAAAAGCTATCGCACCTATACAATAAAACCAATTGGTCTAGCTGTTTTATACTGAAAACTCATCACCTAAAAATTTATATACTACAAAAACAAAATGCATTGTCAATAAAGATGAAACAGAATAAAGAGATTGGTCTAGATTCCAGCCTGTCATTTGTAGGAGCAATATACCCTCACAATTAGGTGATACATTGCTTCCTCGAAGCAGCCCTCTACTGCTGGTGGAGGTTCATCAGCAGGAGTTATTGCTGCTCATAGCTTAAATCATAATGGTTCATGATTAACCATCAAAAGTGTTATTTTATTATATTTAATGATTGATTAATTGCATATTATTTGTGATTAAATGTTTGATCTATTTTGTAGGTAATTTGATTGATTTAAAATAATAATGGATAAGACAAGTGAAGCAAACACCAGAGAAAGAATCATAGTTGATAAAGATTGAAGAGTCTAGATTAAGATATGAAAATTTAAAGATAATGCGAGAATTTAATCTTTATAAGAGTCCAATTTAATAGAAAACTCATTTAGAGTTGGATTAAAAAAATATTTTAAAAGATAGAGTTTTCACATGTCTTTTAGTTATAACTTTTTACCTCGATATTTGGTTGACCTCATTTTTGAAGCGTTGAAAAGAAAACTTCAAGAATTACAAAAATTATTTCTTGAATTGACTCTAACTATGTAAAAATTGAGCTCAAAATTTGGGCGGATATGGTAGTCGCATTCCCAAAATTAGATGCACGAAATTTGATACTTTTTTTGGAAAGCGATATCTCCTAAGTCAACCCTAGATCTCCTATCTATACCTATACTTTAGTATACATAAAAACTCGCAACAGTTGAAAGATAATTTTTTTCCTAACCTTTTTTTTTTTTCTAATTTTTGGTGTATTTTTTTATGATTTTCTAAAAGTCCAACTAAAGTTAGGGGAGATACTTTCAATGAAACACGGTATTATTTTTGATTCAATGTTCTTTTTAATGTATGATTTATTCTTTCAATTTAATTCTTGTATTTTAGTAAAATTTTTGCAATGTATAATTTCTTAATTCGTTGTACCACGTACATTAAATGCTTGAGTTTTCTAGTGAGTCAAATAACTGATTATTCCATACTTTGATTAATTAATAGAATTTTCATAAAATAATTAATTTTTATTTATAATAAAATGAAGTTTTAACGGTTGAAAAGCTTGATTTATAGTAGCTTCGGACACAGTGAATGATTGTGATCTATAAGTAAATTTTTATATTAATTCAGATAATTTATTAGTTACACATTTGATGTTTTCAATATTATCACCGCTACATATTTCAATTGGGATCACTCCTCTGTTGATTATTAATTGAATTCGAAAATTGGATCATTAATAATTATCGTATGGAATTAAAAAAGTATCCCCGATGTCAAGTTATTTCAAATTACTGTTTTTACTCAATCAATCTTTATTCTTTTGAACAAAGTATTTTTTATTTTCTTTTTTCTTGTGTTGTAAGTTTTTCTCAAATCCCTGCACTTCGACCTCAAACTTCCAAGTTATATTTTACTTCATGACAACTTACGCTTGTGTTTGAATATTTTAAGTTGTAGTAGTTCATCAGGACTATATACACTGAGTATTCATCCAAATTCTTAGGCAAGATTACAAATCAACTGGACCACATAACTAGGCACAAGAAGATTAGGCAATAGTCAAGCACGCACAAAACAATATGAAATCTTTAACTCTAAAACCATATGGTATGTATGCCCAGGGATTTGAGAACAATATCAGAAATTTTGTATGCCCAAATCTCCAGAAATATTATCACAATCTCGCTTCACTGATTAATCAACCACATAGGGCATGTGCGTCAAATACTGAAATTTTGACTAGTTATCAAGATTGCTTCACTATTCACAGTAGCATAAATAAATTCCTAAATGGAGATTGAGTTGGATCAGAGCAAGCACAGCTTAAATTGTAGAAATTTTCTCTTTCTACTGAAACGTGTATGAATTCTTTCTCATGGCGGCTAGACTGAACCATATAGAAGTGAATTGTCATCATCAAACCTTCAACCATTATCTTACAAACATATTAATTGGAATAATTAATGAAAGAACACAAAACATATTCAAAACAAATCTAGTCACGATTGAAAAACATACCTAACAGACTTGGTTTCTATCTAATTGTTAGAAATATATCCACAAACTCAATTGACCAGCGATGCAAAAGAGAATTTTGAGAGATAATTTGCAGAGAAAAAGCCCATTAAACACAAAATTCTCTCCAAAATATATATATACATAAATACCTGCTTGGGCAATTCTCTCTTGATCACGGGAAGCTGGGTATTCCCCTCACACACATTCCCTAGCTTATCCTGAAACTGAATGACCAACTGAGTAATATCCCCTTCCACCACCTCACAAACTACTTCCTTGGTATTCAAATTCCCAAAATTCACAACCTGAGCACACACATACCCCAAATCATGGTATGCCTTCTGAACCTGATCCCTGATCTTCTGCAACAACCTGGCACTCACCTTCCCTTCCTCCCTCAACATTAGCACAACCTCTCTGTGCACTGTCGCCGGCAATAAACACGGCCTCGCCCTATCCATTCTCCTCCTATAATCCTTCTCCTGACTCCTAAAATACTCCAACTTTTCCTTCTCAGTCATATCTGGGTCCATTTCAATCGGCTTCGACTGCGGCATCAAACCCACATTTATACATCTAAACCTATCCGCGGACTGCCAAGTGCTCTCCATGAATGATATCGTTATCCCAATTGTCCCGTCCGGGTTCGTTTTCCCTTCAAGATCGACTTTTTCGAACATCCCACAAGTGGCTAGAGTTTCAAGCTCTTTCTGCAGCTGGGCTTTGGTATATACACCACCGGGCCGAAGCGATACCATTTCGAAGAATGAGTCTTCGGTGCCCACCGTGGCCCAGCGTCTCCGATCGAAGAAGAGAATTTCGGAGAGTTTGTATTTCTTGAATCCACTGAGCTTGTTGAGCTGGACTACAATGTTGGCAGGTAAACCATGAGAGTCCCATTCTTGAGGTGGCTCCTCGTCTTTCGCGATTGCTGCGGGAGAAAATATCCGGGACCAGAAATTGCCGTTTCCTTCACCACCTCCGCCACCACCACCTCCGCCAACTCCATTGCCGCCTCCGCCGCCGCCGATACGGTTGATAAGGGAAGGGGCGGAGAAGGCTAAGTGTAAGAGGATGCCGGAGGCGGCAGATACAGCTAGGGTTTTCTTAAGGGAGAAGACGTTCTTGGTAGATTGAGGGGTTTTGGGAATGTTATTAGGGTTTTGGGAGGAAGAGAGGAGGTGGGATGTGATAGGGGTGGAGTGGCGAGTGGTGGTGGTGGAATGGAGGCGGGTGGTGGTGGTGACGGTGGTGGGGGATAACTTGCACCGGGGCGGCAGGTAGGGAGTGAGGTTGAGAGAGAGGAGGTGCCCCGGAGCGGCGATCGACGACATTGCGGTTGGGGATAAGGGGAGAAAGAAAGAGAGAGAGAGGTTCTGCTAGTCGGGTCTGGTGTAGTGTTTGATGGGAGGTTTTAGGTTTATGAGAGAGGCCCACCCGAAGGATGTTACATTACGAGGCTTTATTTACTTTCCAAAAAACAATACTGAACAAAAAAAAAAAAACCTCTCTGCAACAATAAATAATAAGAAAATTTTTAGTCAAATCCCTTCTAATTTATCAGATTTTTAAAGAAATCTTTTAAATTTTTGAATCTTCGTTAACACCATTATTAGATTAAAAATCTTAACTAGAATACAATTTTACTAAATTATTCATGATATATTTTAAAAAAAAACTTTTCTGCATTTTTTTATGTAATTCAGGCAGATTAAAATTCGATTTGAGTAGATTAAAATTCATTTTTAATCTGCTAGAATAAAATTTTAATCAATTTTATTGAATTTTAATCGACCTGAATTTTGATATGTAAAAAAATATAAATTTTAATCAATGCTAATAATACAGATTGAGTTCAAATTGACTCGAATTTTAATACGTAAAAAAATAATTTTTAATCAGGTCGAATTGAATTTTAATATGTAGAAAAATGACTTTTAATTGGTCCAAATTTTAATATATAAAAAAAATTAATTTTAATTAATTTGAATTTTAATCGAATTTCATGTAGAAAGATTGTTTGACGTTTATTTAAGAGTAATTTTAGTATTTTAGATGAATCTTTTGTGTTAAAAATGGTAATTTGTGTTAGTGATGTTTAAATATAAACTAGAAGATATATCAATGATGTTTTGGATAATAGAGAGGAGTGTTCTTAAGGATATGATAAATTAGAAGAAGTGTGACTAAAATTTTTTCCTAAATTATATTATATCTTACATTAAAAAAAAAACTAATGTACGGGGAGAGATTTTTTACCACTCAAACCCTTAATATCCAGAGCACTATATACTAAGTTCATCTCTAGATTGAATTTAATAAAATTTAAATAACATTAGAATTGTTTGAATTACCATTTTTTGTAAAAGATGTATTCTTATTATGCATAAAATTTTTGTTTCTTTATACAATTTTTTTTACTTTCCATCAAACATTTTCTATAGTTAAAGGTGTTTTTGCAATCAAGAAAATGAATATTATTTACCTTCTTTTTTTTTATAAGTGTTTAAATTTACGCCGATTACAATATTTATCATTTAAACAGTTTTTACTAGTCACTCAATCGATAAGAAACAACTCATTTTCTATTGGTAAGAAGAGGTAGGAGTTCTATAAATTTGGTCTGTTTTTCTGTCAATTACATCATAGTAAATTCAGTCGAAAATAAAATTAAAGAGAAAATCTTATTTTATACCTTAAAAATTATTAAAATTACACTTTTAAAAATTAATATTTTCACGTGACATTATAAAATGTGAGACCCGAAAAATTTGCAGGACGCCCGCCCATACGGATTATTTGACCCAAATGAAAGTGCTTAACCAGAGAAAACTTTCTTCACCTGCGGGTGGCGCGTAGCACAGGCACAGTACTCCCTCTTCAGCAATGGAAATGGTGAGAAAATGAGCTTGTGCTTCCACGCAATTCCCCGACGATACATCTTAAAGAACACAATAACAAAAGCCACCCACCGATCTTCCCACGATTTGCCGACTCACAACCGCCAAAGCCCACAGCCGGAACTCCCTCTCATCTTCTCTAATTACCAATCCTTTACTCAAAGCGAAAACAACCCAGAGTCTCTCCATTTAGAGCTCCTAGCTCAGTTACAAAATCATGGGTCGGAACACACCCCTTATATTTTTAACAAAGTCGTATCCTTTTGTTCAAAATGGGCTTCGCTCGATTTGGGTATCCAACTCCATTCCAAAATCGTCAAACTGGGTTTCGATTCCAACGTGTATATCAACAGTGCTCTTGTTGATACGTACTGTAAATGTGGGTTTCTTTCATGTGGCCAACAGTTGTTTGATGAAATGCCTCGAAGAAATGCAGTCACTTGGAATTCTTTGCTTTCTGGTTATTTGCAAGCCCTGTGGCCTGAAATGGCTACTGAATTATTTATGGAAATGATTAGAACTGGAATAGCTCCAACGCCATTTAGTGTATCAGCTATTCTAGTTGGTTGTGCTCAGTTAGAAGATGGAGAACTCGGGGCTCAGGTGCATAGTCTTAGTTTAAAAGCTGGTTTCTGCTCAAATGTTGTAGTGGGGACGGGTTTGATTCATATGTACTCAAAATGTGCAAATGTTGAGGCTTCAAGGAGGCTATTTGATCAGATGCCGGATAAGAGTGTTGTTTCATGGACTTCAATGATTACTGGCTATGCACAGAATCATCAGCCTGATGAGGCGATGATGTTAGTAAGAGAAATGTTGTGTTTGGGCATTAAAGCGAATTATGTCACTTATAATAGTTTGCTGAGTTCATTTTGTCATCCTGATGATTTGGACCATTGCAAACACCTCCATTGTCACATACTAAAGGAAGGACTGGAGTCTAATGCATACTTAGCAGTTACCCTGGTAACTGTATATTCAGATTGTGGTTGTAGCTTAGAGGAATTTTATAGGATATGCTCCAGTGTCATGGTATGGGACCAAATTTCGTGGAATGCGGTCATTTCTGGTTTCTCTAACATAGACAATGGTGAGGAAGCCTTTATATGCTTTTCTAGAATGAGGCAGGCTGGCATTGATGTTGATTTGTTCACATTCACTAGCATTTTGAAAGCAATGGGAATTAGTTCAGCCCTTGAAGAGGGGACACAAATCCAGACTCTAGTTTTCAAGACTGGTTATGCTTCAAATGTGTGTGTACAGAATGGGCTTGTGTCCATGTATGCAAGATGTGGTAAGATCGATTATGCGAAGAGGGTGTTCTTTTCAATGGATCACCATGATGTGATCTCGTGGAATTCACTACTTTCAGCATGTGCTCAGCATGGCTATGGTAGAGAAGCCGTTGAAATGTTTGAACATATGAGAAGAAGTGGGGTTAAACCGAATTCAACCACATTCCTTGCTGTTCTTTCTGCTTGTGGCCATGTTGGGTTGCTGCACAAAGGGCTTGAGTATTTCAATTTTATGAAAAACGATGATTCCGTACAGCCACCCAAAGTAGAGCACTATGCTTGTGTTGTGGATCTATATGGTCGAGCTGGGTTCCTCCATGAAGCCGAAGCCTTTATCAATAGCATGCCAATAGATCCGGGATCTTCTGTCTTCAAAGCTCTGCTAAGTGCTTGTCAAGTTCATGGAAATAAGGAAATTGCTAGACGTGCTGCAAGAAAGCTTGTCGAGCTTTCCCCTAATGATCCTGCAACATATGTACTGTTATCTAATGTGCTGGCAACTGGAGGTTACTGGGATGATGCAGCAGGTGTGCGCAAGATTATGTGTGATAAAGGAGTGAGGAAGAAGCCTGGTTATAGTTGGATATGACTTTGAATAAAATTATGGGAAAATTTCATTCACACTTCCTTGTAGTTGGGTCTAAATTCAATGACACTTATTCCCGATTCTTAAACTGTACTGCACCCCCTCCTACTTTATACTTATGAATTATGGACACCCCCTAACATCAACCGTCTCTGATAGTAGATAAAGTGTATGATTTGATTATCTGTTCTTTGAAAATGCCAAAATTACTCTCTTATATGTTAATAGACTAAAATGCTTCGGGTCAATATTTTATAAAGTTTAATTTTTTAAATTTTTTTGATAAGTAAGATGATATATATTATATCTAATGAAATTATTTTTTATAAATCATATTATCATTCATTTGATTATGTAATCGAATTTTTATAAATTTTTAAATAAAAAATATTTTATCTACAATAAAAATTACGATCGATAAAATTAATGTCAAAGTTCTACTCATTTTCAACTCCTTTGTTATTGTCTGTCCTCCACAATATCATTTAACCACTCTTCACACATCAAATTTAAATATTATTTAATAAAATTTAATGTTAATTGAATAAATTTAGTCTTAATTTGATAAATCTAAATATTAATTTAGTGTTAATTTTATAAAATTAAATATTAATTTATTGTTAATTTGATAAAATTTTACATTCCATGTATAACTCTAGTACTTCTTTGAGTAAGAAAATTCCTTAAAGATGAGTTGAGGCAGCAAATCGTTGAGCTCAAGTACTCGTCCTTTCGAGTTTATTAGGGTTGAGCAGACGATAAGAAGATGCAAATAATATTACATTCGTCTTCTATTATCGTTTGTTGTCTCCATCCCAGATCAACGCTCAGTAGCAACCTCTCTTTGCAACTTATATCTCTAAAGTAGGGTTCTTGCCTTTCTTTTTTAGTTGAAACAATGCATTGTGAACTACGGCGTTCTTGAACTCTTCCTTGCTTGGGCGCTTGCCCCTTCTTTCTATTCTTGATGAAATCGAATGTTAATTTAGTGTAAATTAAAGAAAAGACATTAATTTTTAAAAAAATAAATATAAAATTGATGAACTTGAAGGTTAATTTAATATAACTAAAAATGAGTGTAGTAAAATTTTAGAAGCAGAAGGGGGTGTCGTTGAAGTTAAGCCTATTTACAGGGGGCATGGATAGATTTATCTTTCTAAAACATTAGGGGTATTTTTATAAAACAATGCTCGATGTTAACGCCGTAAACAGACAGCAACTGATAGGAGGTATCAATGAAATTTTAGAATCGAACGAAGGTATCATTGAATTTAAGGCTAACTATAGGGAATTGTATGAAATTTTTTTTAAAATTAACCTACTGTACGGGATAAATTCACGCAAATGGGCACCATCTCGTACGGATGGAGAGAGTTGCAGAGAAACCTTGGTAAACCTGAAAAACTAGAGAATAATTAGGTGAATCCATGGCCGGAGGCGGTCAATGAAACTTCAATGCTTAAATTAGTAAATTAGTCAAAGAAAAGTATAGAGTGATTGGCTTGACCTCGTCACCAAGTCTTAGAAACACGGGGTTGAGCTAGACTAGGACTTTTGGTCTTCAGCCCTTATCGCTAGACCCTGGTTGATCAGAGTAGCATTTCATTGGGACTCTGACTCCTTAGTGTCATATTCCCAGCTCCTAAATGTTTGGAGTGATATTTGATTAGGACTCGAGGTCCTGGGTTACACCCTAATTGAGAAGGACCGTCTTTAGTTTCCTTGGGTACCAAGCGTGAACGAGGGAAGTCTTGCCCAAGTCTGTTACTACTTAGAAGTGCCTTAGCCTTTGCCAGCTGAGTGGCGTGGGCGAGCTTCAGCCGAGTGGCAAGGGCGAGGTGAAGATGCCGAGTGACTTGAAAAAGCCTCCTTACTTTTGCTTAGTAGACCCTTTTGCCGAGTGACAAGAAGGAACCACTTTTGTCGAGTGGCATGAAGGAGGCATTTTTCCTTTTGGCTTGAGGACTTTGCCGAGTAGTGAGGAGTTCTTCTTTTGTCAAGTGGTGTGACATAGGCCTCTTTGCCGAGTGATAGTAGGAGTGCTACTTTATGCCTCACACCTATCCTCTTTTGGGAGCACAAGACCAGCAAGTTGATCGCAATACTACCAAATCTACATTCAGGCAGCTATTTAAGGAGAAATGGTTCTCATGTATAATTTTGGGAACTGAACTTCCATTTGGTGCCCGAAGATGATAAGCTCATTTCCAAGAGAAAAAAGTAGTTGAGTGATATGATCTATCCCCTCATTGAATGGTGGGTAAGGGATTATTGGGGAAATATCAAGCTTTCACTCACAGGAGCAAATTATATGCAATGTTGTTTCAAAATGACAATGATTGTCATTTCAGCCAAGACAATGGCTAGGATTGCAAATAATTTTGTGGTATCTTACCAGGCATTTTTCTTTTCAAATGCCGTACCCACGCAGTGCACAAAGACCTCTCACCTATAATAGGGTCTTGGAAAGTTAAGTGGCAGCCAGTCAAATCCCATTCTGGATTCTCCTCCATCAAATTGATTTACAAACCTGGACTCCAGAAATTTCTTCCCCGAGGCATGAGGCTAATAGAGAGGAAAACAGTTGCTCCAAGGCCTGGTCAACAACTATTTACTATCTTTGGAGTAAACACTGGGAGGGCCACAAAGTGGCTACAAAGCAAAGCACACAGCTTAGGTCATTTCCACATGTAAAAAGAGAGCCCACAAGCTTTTTTTTTTTCCAATTCTTTGTCAAGACATTAGCAGCTTTCACATATAGTCCGTACAAGAACCCGGAAACTAATGCTTGAGAATCGCTGCTTGCTCTTAAATTTCTCTCTAGGGGTTGAAATGCACCATGAGTTGAAATCGGATAAGTGAGATAGTGAGAGATCACACGACAACAATTCAAAAACTGTTCTCCTGGATCAGCAGCAATGGCCCAACTTGATGGTGGGCGAAGATTTTCCGAGACCTCTAAAACTCCGAAAACCCCAATCTCCCCAACTTTCGAACAACTTCTACAAGGTAATTTCATATCATTATGAGCATTCTATGCCTCAATGTTGGAGGCATCTAACATGGTACATTGGCACCACAGGTGATGCCTCGGCTAGGCTCGGAAGTAACCATGACCAAGAAGAAGATCACAGCCCACATAGGAAATCAGTGCTTACAAAAGTGAAGGAGAAGGCTAAAAAGTTGCGGAACACTCTTAGTGGCAAGAAAAAGCATGGGCATGAGTTGCCTGATGATAACACCACTCCCTCATGGGGTGTTAGCTTGGATGATGATGATGATGAAGATGACGAAGATCCGGAATATTTGGGAGCTCCAAGTAACATCAACATAGTCTTTATTATTTGTCATAATTTCATGCTTCACTTGATGAACTAGTAGGTGAAAGATTTCACAATAACACGAAGCATTACACATGTGGCTCATAAGAATGGTTACATAGGGTTGATCGCATATCGAATCAGTCAATTTTGTTGCATTAACTCTATTCTTTAAATCTGTTTCGTGCACAATCCTAGGGTATCCAAATTCATTTGACCATCTGCCTTTATCTTCAGTGTATGAATCAGAGCTGGCACCTGAGAATTACAAAGAAACAGCAAGGCAGCACCCAAGAGCATATCCTGTAGTTTCTGAGAAACATGTTTTGGCAAGCAGTGTCAATAATGAAGTTGAACAAGAAAAAGAAAAGCTTCCTACTCCTAACAAAACAATTACTGACAGTGTATCTGAGAAGCTGGTACCAGCATATAACAGAGTAACCGAGACCGTGTCTGAGAAACTGGCACCAGCATATGCTGCTGTATCTGATGCAACACACACAATTGCTTCTAAAATTGCAGGCCTGACTGTTTCAACCCCTGCGCCAACTGAAATTGCAGACTCTGCTGGCTTAAATGTTGCAGCCCCTAAGGCATCAGACAATGCCGGAGACTATGCTGCTAGTGGCATGGAAAAATTGGCTCGAAATTCAGAAACTACAGATCGTAACAGTCCGCGAACATGGGATAAAGGTGTTTCGGTGAAGGAGTATGTGATGCACAAGCTCGAGCCTGGAGAAGATGAGAGAGCACTTTCCCAGGTCATTTCTGACGCAATAAGTACAAGAAAAACTCCTGGTGAAATGGGTGTGGTGGAGAAGGTGAGAGAGGCCGTAAGTTCATTTCTTCGGGCTGAAGAACCTTCCCAATTGACAAGTAAGGCTACCGATTCATCATCAAACATACTCGTCTCCACTGTTGCAAAATCATCGTCAGACATTCCCATCTCTACTGCTACCAATACAATCTCACATCCACGGCTTGCTGCCCCCACCGGTTCCAACTCCATCCCACACATTCCCATCTCTGCTGCTACCAATACAATCTCATCTTCACAGCTTGCCGCCCCCACCGGTTCCAACTCGTTGTCACACATTCCCATCTCTGCTGCTTCCAATACAATGTCATCTTCACGCCTTGCCGCCCCCACTGGTTCCAACTCCTTGCCACACATTCCCATCTCTACCAGAGCTCATGAAGGTAACTTCATTATCATTTACCAACAGACCATTATAAGCCACTGACCCGATTCTGCTAGAATTATGGATCATTTCATTCAGCACGAAATATTCTTCTTGTCTTATCTTTTAAATTTTTCATTATTATTACAGTTGCTGAGGAAGAAAATCATGGAAGGATACTCCAAGCCAACTAAAAAATGCTGTTCATTTGCAGAGGGAAAAAAAGGTCTTGTGAATTCCATGTACAAGATTTATGTATCAATAAGTACCTACTAAGTGGTCTACTCCACCTCCACTTTTCTAACTGTTATTTTTAGTCACGCATTATGAAATTTTGTATCAGCAACACACTGTTTCGCAGCAATGATAGCAGATTTACATTTGAATCTAATCTTGAAAAACAAAATAAGTTAGTCACAAGAGTTATATAAATTATTTTGTATCCCTACAAATATTTCTGTCAATATCTTTTTGTGATTTGGATCGATGACACCTAGATCACACTCAAAATAATTTTCTTATAACACAACTTGGTTCCAGTTGAATAGTTGTTGCCTTGTCAAATAGCTGGTTTTCTTGATCAAACTAGAGGTTACCAAGCCCAAAAAAAATTGAGGTCTATCGGAAGTCAATCAAAGAGGCCACTAGCTTAAGCTTATTCTCCTTCACTAATGCCTTTGACTTCATGTAACCCCATTGAAGCTCTATATCTTCTTGTCAAAACCTTTCTCCTACCTCCAGTTTCTATTTATCAAAAAGAGGTTGTCCCTCCTTCGACCACTTGACCAATGCGGACAGATTTCCTTTATTCTCTTTTCATTCCTTTCTTCCCGTTAGCTCATGGATTTCATCCTTAATTTCGGGGCAAAAGAATCAAAATTGCTTTATTTTCCCCATATAGGAGTTCCTCTTCTTCTCTTTCGAAATACTACAGTATAAAAAATTGAATGTCATCTTAAAACCACTTGATGTGGGAGCCATCCATTTGACTCGAGCATATGATCTAAGCCAAAGGCCAGATGCTAATCTTTTCTAGACAATTTTCAAGTTGTTTTGTTCCAAATGCTGCTATGAAATATTGCTAAGCCTCTGTTTTGACAAGAATCAACCATTTAACCTCATGGTTCAAAGAATCTTGGTTGCATTTGCAATATTTGAAGCCCTAATTTTCCACTATTTTAGTATTTTTGGCATAACTTTTTACTCTGATCATGGATTGAGCTGATTCTTGTGACATTGTAAAGAATACTTCAATTCCTAAACAATTTATTGAGATCAAAATTCATGAATCCTTGTGATGCTAGTAAGTCATCTGCCTCCGAAAGGAAAAGTAATTTTCCACCATTTTAGTATTTCTGACATACTTTTTTACCCCGATCTTAGATTGAGCTGATTCTTGTGGCATTGTAAAGAATAATTCAATCACTAAACAATTTATTATGATTAAAATTGTGGTACAAGTTTGGTATAATAAGTCATCCGTCTTTAGAAGAAAAAATAATTTCTCAAGTATTTCCGATATAACTTTTTACCCTAATCTCGGATTGAGCTGATTATTGTGACATTGTAAAGAATATTTCAATCCCTAAACAATTTATTCGAATCAAAATTTGTGAATCCACTTCTAACAAAGTCGAAATTGTAATGAAAGTTTGGTGTAGTAAATCATTCGCCTCCGAAAAGAAAAGCAATTTTCTACTACTTTATGACACAACTTTTTACCCCAATATCGGATTAAGCTAATTCTTACGATATTATATCCGTCTCCAAAAGAAAAAATAATTTTCCACTATTTTAGTATTTATGATACAACTTTTTATCTTATATTGGATTGAGCTGATTCTTGTAACATTGTAAAGAATATTTTAATTTCTAAACAATTTATTGAGATCAAAATTTTTGAATCCACCTCTAACAAGGCTGAAATTGTGATACAAATTTGGTGTAGTAAGTCATCCGCCTCCGGAAAAAGAAATACAGAAGGGATTTTGAACAATAAATTTGATCGATAAATTTTTTTGCATGGTAACATTGGATAAAATATATTCAAAATATGTATGTATGTCATTGTGTATGTTCATAGAAAAAAAAAATAATTGATAAATTCGAGGAGAATAATATTACTAGTGAAGATATAGGGATAAGCATCCAATACCTATAACAACCGTCCGGCAAAATGATTCTTATATCTCTAAGTTTTCACATTCATTGCCATACCCATTCTTTCTACTCCCCAAGACAGACACTCATTTATTACCACCCCTCTATCCTCTTTTTTTCTCTTGCTTCGTTCAATCTAATCCGTACATAACGTAATGGCTAAGCCAATGGGGGAAAGAGAGGCTGAAAGCCCGAACATAATCTCCTGTAATTTCACTCGGTTCTTCTTATTTGCCTGGTTTTGAATTCACATTATTCTTCAACAATGGAGAGTCCCAATCCAAGAGGAAAGTCCCAACAAGGCTGCAGAAACATCCACCTGCGGCCCTTCAGCTCGACACAATCGAGAATAGCGACAATGCAGACCCTTACGCTCCCTCTCGATGTGCAATTCTTTCATTATCTCCACTCGAACTCTCTCCTCAGTTGTCATCTGAGGCAGAAGCGACACGATTAGCAGTTAGCAGAAGAGATTAACAAGGCGCCAACAATGCGATACAGCCATAGGCATACTGACCGAACCTTTTGCGCTGTTTTCTTTTTTTTTTCAAACACCATGCACAAAAGGTTAGTCAGGTGCAGTGACGCTTTGACGATGGCTTGTGTTACATCCCCAGCCTACTCCTTTAAATGTAATTTTGGTTAGTCACACTGGTTGTCCTGTGATCTATTCCTGTCTCTCTCTCTCTCTGTAAGAAAGACTTCATTACAAAGTGTGCTCTATTCAATCATTTGGGCAGTCCACCACGAGGCCTCTGCAGTGTCGAAAAAACTCAATTGCTTGTAGACTCATCCCCCATGTAGTTATTGTGACTTGAATTTGTCTCGCTTAGATCACAGTGAAACAATCTTACTTGATTGTTGGAAAAAAAAATACTGAGAAAAAACGTGAGTTAAAAATATGTTTTTTAAGTAGAGGGAAGTGTATATAAGAACAACTCAATGACCAAAAGTTTTATCATATCTGAAATGGACCAACAACAGTTGAGGAACCTACCCTAAAATGTTAATCATAGTGCAGCTCTACTTTCTCGTAGCATGCAGATTGACAAAGCTTATGATTTAGAAGCAAACTCATTGCAAGTGAATAATCGAACTGATAAAGTTACTAACCGAGAAAAAAACACCGATAGAGAGAATCATCCAATGATAGATCTACAGCAAATGGATGCAGAGGGGCGTACAGGGGTGAGAGTCTCATGATCAAACCTCACTCCCCGTGGAAACAACACCCACTGCAAGTTCATAAGGCCACCAATTCAAAGCCCTTCCTGCAATAGGGTAGAAGGGCGAGCAACAATCAATAATAAATGAGGAAATATAACAAATTAAGCATGTATTCTGCCAAACTTAAATTCATAACCAATTTTTCAAACAGTGTGAAGGGCTTGTATCGAGCTTAACAACATATTCAATGTCCACTCCGCAGAAGCATTAAAACATAAAATCGAACCCTCCATAAAACTTTCCAAGAAACTCCTCTTATTCATCTTCTACACATTTTTTATTTATGTCCTCCAGAACCCAATCTCAGCACATCGTTATCAGTTTGAAGTATTTTTTAGTGTTAATAATGTCCAAAGCTTTCAAGTAGACCCCTTGAAGCAGTAATACATAGAAAGACTAGTGGATACTGTATACATAATTTTGTTGTACTTTAAAGCCCCTTAGAAATGAAACAAAAAAGAAAAGTCTCAAATGCCACACAGCACCCTCCCTTGTTCTGCAAAAGTTATTTCAACCTTTCCTGTTCAATAAGCCTCAGGATTGACCGATTCAGTTACAGAGAATATGTCCAAATGAAATGAATGTGACCAAGTAATAAGTTAGAATATCATGGTATTCGACTCAAAATTAATCTCTTCAGGTCAATGAGATGCACGTGTTGTCCAAAATATAGCACTAGTCTTAACGTCCATGGCAGCATACTTACAAAGAGAGAAAATAAACAGACACAGATGTTGAGAGGTGGTAATAATTTCCTCTACCCACCTGAGAATTAAGCTAACATCTTGTATAATGTATCCGTATAGCCAGTCAAAATGCCAACACAAATAACCAAAGATGATCTTTGACCTGAACCATGCAAAATCAATAGAGAGCCGAAGAAAGAAACACCAGCTATGACAGAAACTGCAGTTATAAGTTATTTATTCCAGACAGCCAGGCCTTTAGAGTACAATTGCAAAACAAGATGTATCTAATCGTTGACTGATCTAAGGCTAACGTAAGTGATTCTGCAACTCCCTTCATTTCAAAAGTACATTCAAGTGTAACTGTGCTTGGTTACCATTCAAAAGAAACTGTATCATGGACCTCAAATCCTTCTCCTGCCACCAATATCTAGAGTTGATGCGCAGGAATTCTAGGGCCTTTAGAGTTAATAGGAACTGTTTTTTTGTCTTTGAAACCAAAATAAATCACTTGCAATGGTATGATAATGACATCTTTCTCAGCATTTTGGCTAAGATCAAGTGTTGTCTCTATTCTTATCATAATATCATATGATAATGTCCATCTTTGCCACCAATTGTCCTGAAGAAAACTAGCAAACAAGTTTATTTTATGTGATTTCAGTGTTCACATTGTATCGATATTGGTTCATTGGAAAGAAAGATAGCAGTTCAATGTGAGTACTTCCATAATTCCTCCGACAAGTTGAAGGACAGTAGTAATGATCAATTGATCATGGCCCCTATGTCCTATTGTCTTCATATAATTTTCCCTATGATAAGGATAAAAGATGATGGCAAAGTATGAGTTAAAGCAAGTAACTGGTCAGTTAACATTTCACAACCTCAGAAACAAGGACAATATAAAGCCCCAAGACAAGGCTTATAAACGATACTTAAATGCTTCTATCAATGTAACCAATCTGGCAAATAATTCATATCCACTTCATATTCCAGATATTGATACATATATTTATAAAGAACAATTATGGAATGCAATGGAGGTCAATTTTGCATTCCAATCATTAATTTCCATGCATAAGCAAAGGTATAGCTCAAATAGATAAACATAACTTACCAGCAGATCCTGAGATAAAGATAAGGTAGTCCTTAGGTATCAAGTATCAACCTTCTATCAAACCCCAGCAGAGAAATGAAATACCCAGCACCACTAATGACTAGTAATACAGCTGTCACAAAAAGCCTCCGCCATATCTTACTCTTGAAAAAGGATTCAGCAGCATTATTAAGGACTGAACCCAGCTGTACCAAATTCCAAAATCTATTTTTAAATATTGTATGCCTGGATTGCAAGGTTCCATAATTAATGATATAATGTGAGCTGAGTAGACCGGCACCATCATCAGTTGTTGGCGGAAGGAATTCGTGATTTAGAGACTGCAGATGCTGCCTCAACATTCATATGCTTACTTCTGAGCTATTCTGGAGCATAGATAGAAAACCTTCTGTTTGCTTTTGAGGGAAAAAAAAAGCCTATTTAACTACCGAAAAGACCATTTAGCTGAATTCTGAAGAATTTTCTTAAAAGGAAATATGAATTCTTGCATAGAAAGAACAATAACATTGAGGATTATGTACAGCCAGCCCATCTGTATGTTGGTGTAAAACAAAAGAATCTAGCAAAGCAGAATGGCATCTCTGTAATAGGATTATGCTATAGTTTCGTAAGGCACAAAGCAGATCACAGTTTGGTAAGAATATGCAATAGAATAGCCAGACAACCTCTAACATAAAGTCCACTTTACTCATTCATTGTGCTATGAGAATTGAATATTAGTATAGAAATAATCATATTTATGGAACTGCACAAGCAATAAGTCCATTAAACTCTTTAAATTAGCAGTGAAACAAATGATTGTCAAGACCCGAGACTAATATCTCAGACTTAACACATCCACTGATGGCGCGATGCAAACATGGCATCAAGTTGCATCTCCCTACCAATTTTCAAAATGATCTAAAAAGGACAGAATCTATAGCACACAAACTACAGAAACCTAATGCACACAAGAAAAACAAAATTATTTGAAGCTTGAACACGACATAAAAATTGAAAAAGAAAGAAAAAAGATGTCAAACAGTATGGGAATATATAACATATTATTAAATCTGGTTCAGTTTAACCTAAAGAAATTTAACTTCCTAAAAATGAAATTGGGCAGATTCAGACAGAAAAAACAATAACTAATCTGTTACATGACCAAATGTATGTTGATGTTACCATAATAAACCATTCGTTTAAGGTACGATAAAATTGAAAGAGATTACCACCCAAGTACGTAGTTGGGGAACTCTAGTACTTGAAACACAAGGCAGTCAAATGCAGTTTTCAGTTATCCACATCTTTTGAAATCAATCGCAGTTTTCAGTAAATTGCGGCATTCTTCATCTTCTTTTTTTTTATATGGTAAAGATCTCACAGGTCAGCTAACAAGAAACAAACAGTAATAGGGAAATGGAACTAGTCTTGAAACGAAGACGCTAGGGCCCCATTGGCCATAGCTGATCTTCTGAAATATGAGTAGACCGAGCAAAGAAGCCATGAGTGGCCCACATTCACTAGGTCCAAAAGTCAATGAGCCAGTGGGCAAAGCCATGCAAAGCATAGCAAAATAAAGGGTAGCGCAATGTTAACAACATAATACTTTTCTTGACTACTTTTGTGTTTGATTGTTTACCATACTGCACATTCACAACAAAATTGTTGGTTCAAGAAGCTGAATACATACCAGCAGCCTCGATTAATAAAAGATATAAGCTTAGGTCACCACCCTCAAGCTTGATATTCTTCTCTCCCAATCCTGTCTCCTTACTTAACAAAGATTCTAGTTCGTCACCTCCAATGCCCACCATCCACCAAGCCCTTATCTTGGTTCAATATATAAATTGTCTAACCAACACAAAAAAAAAAAAAAAAAAACTCCTCAAAAATGGCCAGAAACTTTCCTCAATGTCAATCAACTTCAACTCAATCCCATTGTCAGAGGACCAGCAAAACAAAGAAAGATTGCTCATAATGATTGGTTGCCGGGAAAACCCTTGTTTTATGATGATCAAATAGTCATAGTAGGTTTCACTATGTTTAATAATAAGATAACACGTATGCAGGTGAATTCTACGTAACATAATAACTATCTCATGTAAAATTCACTTAGTCTCATGCTATCTTATTATTATATCGTTATCGTTATCAGTATGATGACGTAATGTAACGGTTACTTACAACATTTTTTTTCATTTTTTGGGGGTGGAGTCATGTATGAATTTCTAATTAGGCACTTTAATTATGTGTGTTTAATTATTTTTTTAATAAATAAAAATATAAATCAATGTCAATTGTAAAAAACCTACAAAATATGATTCAACTAAACAGGCAATAACGGATCTATTGCAACTCATATTATCATAAAAAGTATTTTTTGTTTTTCTTTACTTCTTTCACTCCCTACTTCAATTTCATGTGGTAAAAAATAATATCAATATATTAGAATTTTTGTTTATAAAATATTTTCAAGTCTGAATATTTTGTTGTTTTAATATTAAAGTAATCCTAACTTCTATACAATAATAAAGTAAATTATTTAAAGAATGTGTCCAAAATTTATTAAAAATAGTCATTTATTATGGGCCTCTCAGTGTCCAAAATTTATTAAAATGTGTCCCAAGTGTATCCATTTATTATGGGCCTACATAAAAATAATATGGATAAGCATACAATTATAAGTATAATTTTTGAGAGAAATTTGAGGGTACACCAGCAACCACCCTCGCCCGTCGCCCCTCATGTAACTCTGCCCATGAAATACATCACTTATTAGTTATTACTTAAAAACGCTACATACTTCATGAGCAATGCTATGCTGCACAAATATTTATTCAAACTTTGTATTTCAAATCAATACAAGTAGTTGGATTAGTGAAATCTATTAACTCTACTAAATATTTAATACATAAAATTTTGACACTTCTCTTAAGATACAAAATTTGGATATCAAATTATGCAGCACAGCTTTGTCCCATAGTTCACATGTGACTTATAAGTACAACTATACAACCTACCCAAGAAAATCTATAACTACGAACAAAGAGAGTTTTATAAGAGAAAAAATGTGTTTTTTTTTTAGGAAAACGCTATACTTTAACAAAAAAAATTATCAAATAATGTGACACAATCTCCATTATTGAATATTAATGAGACCAAATTTGTGCCACATCTTTTAAGATACAGATTTGATAAAAAAAAAAATTGGTAAAGATGTATGCTTTTCACATTATCATTTTTCTCCTTTCGTGTCTCCACTGAAATTCTTGGCTTGGCTTGGCTTTCAATCTCTCATCTGAAAAACAACTCTCTGCTAAACCTTGTAAACTTAAGTACCCTTCGATTGGATATAAATTAATGAAAATGTCCCATAAGTATACAGAAATTGAATTACAAATTCCATCAGAAAAATGTAGAAACTATAAAAGAGAAAAAAAAAAAAAAAAAAGGCAACCATTCACGGCCCAAAAGCTCACCCTTTATGTACAACAGGCCAACCATCTAACTCATCTCTGAAGGTATTTCACTCTTCCCACAAGTTGTCATTTAGTTATTATAATTAAATGGCAAACTGCAAATACACAGTCATACTTCAGATTTGCTCTTAAAAGCAGCTGCAATTGTCGACTGAGATTTCTTCAAACATCAGAATTCGAACTCTCCTGTCGCCTGAAGAAGAAAACCAGCATCCAGAGAAAATCTAGAGGAGGAAACAGCAGATACAAACATAAGTTTGAAGACGAATTCCATGAAACGCACCTTATTGAAGAGGATGTCTTCATTGTTTATGTGCATAATGCCATCCTTTAGAGTGCATTTCCATCTGCTCTTGGTGCGTGTCACCTACCAACATATTTGTACGATGTTTATCAGGCCTTGTCATCATCGTAAACTATGAATTTAGCATTATTAGTACAATACCTTATCAAACTGAGCCAAAACTAAATGGATTGGATTATGCTCCTCCCCCTGGTCGACATCATCCAAATCATCATCATCATTTTCATTCAAGGGCTCATCATCATCGTCATCTCCAACATCATTCTGAGTGACAACAGCAGGAGTAGCTGCTTGCATCTCTAAACAAATGCAAATAACAGAAAAAAATTATAACAGGCCATCTACATATCTAGTTCAAAATTATCAAAGTTTACCATTTGGTGCTGGTGTATTCACTACATTGTAGTCTTCATTGACAACTCCTTGATAGTTGTATATCTTCAAAACAAGAAGAAAGAGACAGGGTAAGTTTACAAAAGCAACAGATGGTGGGTTCATCATGCTTTTCATGTATATATTATTAAAGCAGTAAAATGGCAATGTTAGAAGCTACCATAAAAATGGAATAACTGCAAATAGCCTAAGGCTTAAAAGTATATGCCCAACATCGAGCAATAATTTGTTACCAACAATTCAAAGTCGCAATACTTAATCCATCGAGCGATAATACAAAAGCACAATGACACGGCCCTTTCAACCGGCCAAAACGCCTGTTTGAGAATTTAGTGTTCCAACTTTCGATTAAATAATCATTTTAGACACTTTCACAATAACGGATCCAACGTAATAATATGTAAGGTACAGACTTTTGATACATCTACCACTTGAAAACAGTCATTTTTTGCAATATTAACGTAATGCATTTTTTTCACTTAATGCAACATTTTTGAAACATTAGTTTTGCTAAGAATGAGGATAGAAAGGAAAAATGGTATTCAAATCTCACTTATTCCAACTCCTTAACATCCAAGCAACATGCTAATGTCTGAGACAGTAATCATTGATCACATTCATGGGAGGAATGGCATGCTATTGAGTGGGTTAAGCCACTTCAAGTTTAAACAATAATGGGTCTATTCTAAATGTACACAAAGCTTCAAAATTGAGTATAATCAAACCTGTAAACTATTGAAATATTGGAAAGCGCGCTCAAATATTTGGTTAGATAAAAGAAACTCTTCAGTGTTGAAATTAAAGCAGAACAAATTTGGGGCTTATGCTAGCATACGCGCTTACTAGTGCACAAATACACGTCTAAATAGGTAATGCACACAAGCAAAACTCGGGATTGCATGAGAATATCTCCTCAAAAACAAGGAAACAGCTGTGCTTACGTTGGGTGTAGAAAGTGCATCATCGTAAGGATCGGGTATTGGCCCATCCCATTGAGGTATCCTCTTAAAGATAGTTATGCCTTGTCCAGACATGTCTCGGTTAGCAGCAATGACCATGTTACCTTTAGTATTGCTCCCCTGAACTACCTGAGAAAATGACAACAATTTTTTTTTGAATTGAACAAAAAGAAATACATATCATGCCAGATTAAGATAAAATGCAAAAATTGCAGAGTCATGCAGCATTTAATAAATCCTCCATTAGATACAATCATGATAAATGAACCGCACGCCAGAGCCTATAGACATATAATCAGATTTGGATTGTTCTATGCCTATAAATGCAAAACGATAAAATCACACCAGAATGGCACACTATCCAAGTACACATGCATTCCACATGACTGAGCTCTCTATTGTAGGGAAAATGCCTAAAATATCACAAGGGGCGGGGACAAAATTTCAAATATAAAATCCCTCTTTTTTCTACTCACATAGCAAGTAAATTTCCAGGAATGATTAACATTGGATACAACATAACAATGACCCAGAAAAGAAATGATACACAAAACTGCTTTTCTTTTTTGGGTTCTTTTCTTTCCCTTTTTTCCCGCCAGGCGAAGGGGGGGGGGGTGGCAGGAAAGATGGTCCAAAAACCCAAATAAGGCTTCATCAAGGGAAATTATGAAGGTCACCTACCAAAGGTAAAGATTACATTGTAGTGCTATAGAAATTGAACAACCCTATATATGGTCGAACATTATCAATAATCATCTCCCCTTGCGGTCAATAAAAAAGGCTCTGCCTGACAAGGGTCCAAGACTGGTAGAATAACTGCCTAATTTTACTCTTCATGTAGGCACACTAAGCTAATGAGAATTTTTTTATGGTGGTGGGATCAAAGAAATGGGGTCTACCTTAATCTCGTCTGATATAGCATCTCCGGCTCCATCTTGCTGTGGTATGTATCCTCCTGCACGGTATTGCGAAGGAAAATCCTCTCGTTTCCGCTTTCCAGAAGGCATTGTGAAGAAATCCTGCATTCTTCCAACATTAAGGTCAATAGTGGACTTCATTGGTAATTAAACACCGTTAAGGTAAGATCTTATGTCACCAATAAAAACAGCCCACTTAGGTGCCAAAAATTTAATAATTACAATAGTTCCTCCTTTAAGTGTGTTTGATAATGCACAAGAGTTACCATTTAGAACATATTTCACTACAGGAAAAAAATATTATGTTATTTAAAAGAGAACAACATAAATGAAAACCAAGCTCCAAGGAAGGCCATTTCGAAACAATCCTACCTCTAATATTTCAATTATACATATTCTGCTGCTGGAAGCTTTTCGTATCATGGTTGAGCACTAATATTCCAATTTACCTGGTAAACCTGAGACTGAGAGCAAAATTCTATTGCCAATAGTTTCTTCCTTTTAATAACCAAGTGATCTTCCTGAATAATCATTTTGAGATGAGTTTTTTTTCATACTTAATCCCAACAAGATTATTTGAGGTGAGATTATAAACCAAGGTGACTCGTAATACTATAGGTAGGTGGAGTGTCCACCTTATTTCTTTCCCCGGTTTTTTTTTTGGTGGTGGGGGTGTTGGGGAAAGAAGGTGTTCCATTTACTGCTATATGATAGCACAGAAAATTAACAATCATCCTTTTTCCTTTTTTTACAGGGGACAAACCATTCCCAACCCATATTCAAAGCTGTTTGCAAAGTGCTTACTAGACAACAGAGCAGCGGATTTCTAAGTTCTGAAGAAAGCTTCCCAAATAGGCCAGAGGGTATTATAGAAAAGGAAAAAACAAGCAGAAGGGAAAACATCAGATAATATATCCTCTGAGAAGTTTTATTACTTTCCCAAATGAGATTAAGTGCCGAGGAGCCAAGGGGCAGTTTGCATATTTTCCCGAGCATTAGACAACATTTGCATATGGTTACATGAATGTATATTTAGTTGGAGTTGAAGTCACTCAAACTAAAGGAGAGGCATGAGCTCTTCTTTTACTAGGAGGGCATAGAACAGAAAGTCCTTTTCATCTCTATTGGTAATCATCTATGAAACACGGACACTGAAAAATGTGATGTATCCGTGCTGGACACATGTTGGATACGGACACGTGTTCAATACTCTTTTATCCATGTCCATAATTAAATAATATAAGTTTAATTTCGAATAAGTGTCCGACACTTCTTTAAACCGTGTCTACTACTAAACAACAAACATGTTGACATATGATCAACAAAGCTCAAAAATTTGGCTCATAAGTATAAAATTATTAAGACTAGACATATTAAAGTTGTACTCAAAATATAATAACAAAAGTAAAAGATTCAGAAGACAACAATCACGAAAATAAGAACAATCATTTAAATTATATATGTTTGGTACTGGTGTACGAAAAAATTTGATGATTATTGACTATTATAATGTTAGTTTAAAAATTCATATTAGATGACTAAACATAAAATTTACTTACCATAAAGTATTGATTTTTTTATGAATAAAATATTATTAGCGTCGACATGTGCATAGCCATACAAGTATTCACACATGCAGATACCCTTATCTTCATGTATACCATACTTTCAAGAGAAAGTAGAATTTATTCGCATAATCTAGCCAACTGAAGCCAATACTTATGAGATAACATACATAGGGGTTGTCATGAAAGAAAACGAGGGAATGCCTCAATGAATTATAATCAGCGAAAGAAGAAAAGGAGTTCTGTCACCATGAGGCAAAAAATCAGGATTTCTATATTGTTGGTCGACAAACAAAGGCTGGCAAATGTATGTAAAGTACGATGGAACATAAAGGACAAAAGTTTTTTTCGTTTTCCTTTTTTTTTTTTTTGGGGGGGGGGGGGGTAGTGCCCGCTGTGATCTATCTCTCTCCTCCACTACACGCCAATTGAAACAAACCAGACAAAGTATTTACAGCCTAGTCCATTGTCTTTCAATAGCCAGTAGGTTTATTTAACAGATGCAGCAACCAAATCTAGTTAAGAGTTTTCTGCTTTAGCAGTGGCAGCATAACAAGAAGCAAGCTTCACTACCACTGGAGAAAATGGGCATTGCTATCATGCACGCTTCTCTCTCTCCCCCCCCCCCTCTCCCTCTCTCTCTCACTCATTCACACACACACCCCTTTTCCTGTTTACGTCTCCTCATTTTTGAGCAAGAACGGCTTATTGCTGTGACACGGCTGTAAAACTCAAAGCTCAGGTTGACACATCATTCACATATTCTCCAAATCGTAGCACTCTCTAGCTATCAGTCATCTATTTTCAGAGCTTCTCATCTTAGTCACTCTCTCTACACAGCCAGATTGGTCATTGGCCCTTAAAGAACATGTACAAATACGTCTCCCCTATCCTCTATATTTCGTAATCTGATCAGATTTCATCTCAATCTGATTGCATAGATATATGTGACAGTTTCGCAGATTTCAACCCGTTGATGAACTCATACCCTTTTCCAACATCATTCTATTTACTCTTTTCTAGAATGATGACAAAAATCATCTTTTAATTTTAACTCATTCCTTAGTGGCTGTGCAGAACAGAAAATTTGTTTTGGCTTCCAGTTATGTTATTCTACAATGCATTTACAAAAATTTCGGACTGCCCATTACTTCTTCAATTTTTATGGTTGCTTATGTTCTTTTTTTCATGGTATGTGAATGTTATTTGCTGGATTTGATTTCTATCAATTTACACCAAATGATATTTGTCTTCTTTGTATTTTTCATACAAATTTCCTAATTTTTCCCACATTACAGCTGTCTCCTAAAGTGAGTTTCATCAAACCAAAGAAGGGGAGGACCGGAGGGCCAAAAAAATAATTATACATATCCACTTGTCTATTTAGGGATGGAAAACCGCCAAATGACACTAAATGAATCCTTAATGTTATGCGCAACATTCCTTAAAAGGAAAAATACAAATTTAGAACTCCAGTGCTCCGGAACTCCAGCTAGCAAATTTTCAAAAAACTAAGAGCCCGAGCATGATTCAGTATATCGCAACTTATATTGTCAATAGCAATCACCTGAGTCATGGGTTGATGAGACGCTGCCCTGTCCACCTCTTCACGACCTTCCACGTAAGCTACAATCACATATAGACATGCTTAACACAAAATTGCTAAGCAATATGTAAATGAATACAGTTCTAGAATACTACATACCAACATTAACATCAAGAGGAGGCCTTTGGTTCATCCAAGGTTGAGGTGGTTGCTGCACAAGTGAAAAGGAGGAAAGAGGTTACTATTTGACTTCTAGAACCCATCCCAAAGAATACAAATTCCTAGCCACTAATCACATAGAAACATTAGTTTCCACATCATCTGAATGCCATTGAAGAGACCCAGAAACATCTCAAGACAATGGGAAATGGGTATATTGAAAATTTGAATTGCGAAAATTATCATAAAAAAAGACGAGATATAATGCAGAGTCAAGTGTCTACCATGTACGGACTAGGTCTCCCAGCTCTCATATCAGTAACTCCACCATTGTCGGTCACAGTAGGATAGTCGTTAGGGGTTATAGGAGTGCTACCAGTCGGAATGTTATACATTGAATTATCCGCTGTCCCCGGTGATGGAGTTGGGGCTGTTCCCGGCAAAGGAGTCTGAGCAGTTCCTGGTAGAGGCGTTTGCATGGGAGTCTGCAATGGCGTCTGTAAATCCCGTACACGTTTATCTTTATATAACTAACTGGAAAATTACTTCAATTTTCATGTATAAGAGAAAAGGAAATAAGAACTCACAGGAGGAAAGAGTAAATCAGCAGTGGGAGTTTCGAACTCCTCGGTACCTTCATAAGGCACATTAAGATCATGAACAGGGGTAATCGCACCCCCTGGTGTCGGCTTAGGCCCCGAAGACCTGTCTATCGGACCTAATATAGCACCCGCTTGCACCATTTTCAGCTCCCATAGCTAAAGATCAACATAACATCAACAATTACACAACACTTAATTTCAGGGCAACAGATCCAAAAATTATGAAAACCACAAAACCCTAACACTAAACAGATCGAAACTGTATACACTGAAAAAATTCAATCTTGACACAATCAACACAAAATAAAATTTTCACCTAAATAAACAATTAATCTTAAATTCAACAAAAACAAAAGAATTTCTTGGGAAGAAAATTGAAAAAAAAAAAAAAACGCTTACTCCTTGAAGCTCGTTGAGGACACTCTCGCCAGCACCCCCGTTGTTGACGAACTCCTCACGGACCTTGTTGATGACGTCTTCGATTACTTGGACGTAGACATTGCTCGTCGTCGAACTCGACATTCTCCGATTCTCAAAGCTCCGTCTACGTTCGATTTTATCGACAATCTACAACAATAATTATACAAACAATACAGATCTTCTCAAAGATTGATAGAAAGATGTAAGAGAGATGAAGAGTTGAGAGATGAAAAGTAGCGTTCGGGGGTAATGGACGAGAAGTGAGAACGAGAGAGAGAGAGAGAGAGAGAGAGCGGCGGAGAAGGATAGGGAGCCGGAACAGAAAATGGCATAAAGGGTGGAATATAAATAGGTTTGCATCCGTTTATATGTTTGGGTCCACGTGTCGATTCCGCACGATCAGGGTTTTTTTTTTTGCCTAATTTCAGAGGAGTGAATTATTCATGTCTTTAAGTCTCTTTTTCCATGTTTCAAAAAAAAAAAAGTCTCTTTTTCCATATTATTTAATTCAAACTATTAAGCTCATATCTATATTTACTCCATTTATATCCATCAAATTAAACAATTAAATATATATTTCAAAGAAATCAAAACAAAAATAGTAATTGAAGTGAAATTTCAATGTTTTGAAGTGATTTAGAATATTTCGATATATTTTGAAATATTTTTATTAATGATTTTAGAATATTTGGAAACATTTTAAGATATGTTGGTATATTTTGATTAATATTTTAAAAATAAATTTTTTATTTTTATTATGTTTTAAAAATATTTTCGTACCTAAATGATACACCAAGATGAAATTTTGATTATTGTCTATATAATAGGTTGAAATAAAATTGAATGAATCTAATTTTTAATTAGTCAATATAGACAAGATGAGTTTAGTAACTAATGAAATTAGTATAAATGAAGTGAACTTAGTAATTTAAAGTAAAAAGATTAAGTGGGGTGAAAAATGAGATTTAAGAGCCCATTTCAGAAATACATTTATAATTTCTAACCGAAAAAAAAAACTCTGAATCGATTATTGGAAAAAATTCATCCCATTATATTTTCATTTAATAATATTTATTATTTAAAAATATTTTTGTCCTCCGTACACACTAGATGGTCTATAGTATATACACATTCAATAACCCTTGTTAAGTAAAACTAAAAAAAAATTATAATAATAATAAAAGGAATATACTCAATGTAACAGTAATATTAAATGTAACACCCTTGGAATACATTTAGATCCCACATTGTAGTAAACACTTAATGTAGCAATAATACAATATCATCGTGCAACACATTAACCTTTTACGTGATTTGAACTGTGGTGATTCAGAATTGGTGGCAACGATAGACTGAATTTTGGGGAAAAAAATATTTATTACAACAATGATATTATATGGTAATATTGATGTGATATCACCAACTAATAATATCAAAACAAATAAATAAATAGAACTCACAAAAAATAATAATAAATCCTTAATATAAGTAGATAATTATACACTCTTCCTTCATATAAATAAATAATTATTTAAGTGAGGTTTACCTTTCTCACTTAATATTTTTTTATTGATTAGTGATACTATGTTAACATTAGTGATGATGTTGTTCAAAATCTCTTTACTCAATCACAGAACAACGAAGGGTTTAAACCGAGTGATGTTTGGTGTGTGCGTGGAAATGAAGCAAAGACTAAAATATAAGTGATTCACTTCAGCTGAAAAATTAAGATTACGTCCAATGTAATGAAAACTCTTGCTCCTGGTAAGTTACAGTTGATTTGATTGGGAGTCTTTTACAGAGTGTTTCTCAAATTGTCTATGGCAATGTTTTAAAACCCGGGCCAGACATCAATTCGGTGAAGGAACTAGGTCAACGGGTCACTAGTTCAACCGTTAAGCTACTAGTCGAACCGGTAATAAAATAAAAAATTAAAAAATAATTATAAATAATAATAAATAGGCTAAAAAATCACAATAATTATAAAAATAACATCAAATATACAAAGTTAAGTAGAGAAAAATCATCCATGTATTCAATTTTCAATACGAATTGAGGAATTGGACTGAGAGTCTTTTCCCCAAACCAAAAGAAAACAACATGACTTAACACAAGCGGAAAGTCAGACATGCATACATACATCTGCTGAAGTAAAGTTCAGCCAGAAAAACAAGAAAGAAAAAATTGATCAAGAAAAAGAATTGGATGGTTTAAATTTCTTGGTTTGATCGACCTTTTATGTCAGAGAAGATTGAAGTTTTTTAACAGTTAAATCACGAAATATTCAAAAAAATAAGTCCCAGTCATATTACATCAAATTTTCTCTAGCCAAGCTCAGAACTATTGAATCAATCTAAGAATTCAATAAAGAAATGAACCGAAGAGTTGAAATTATGTAAAAGGGCAAGACATTACTTGTTTGACAAATCTAACAATAATTTAAGGATCGCTGCTCTTGAGATCTCTGACACCAAGGTTTACACCTATGTGGACATGAATTCTGAGAAGACCCAACAAGTGTTCCATCGAAGATTTTAAAGTATCAGACAGACAAAATGAATGAATGAAGTCTGAGATAGAGAAAAAAGGGGGGGGGAGAGAGAGAGAGGGAAGCTCACTAGAGTCGACTGCCTGCTGGTGGACTGCATTGGAGTGGCTGATCGCGAGCACTGGCTGCACTGGACTGGCTGGTCTGATCGTTGGTGCCTTGGTGGTGTGGTGGAGGTGAGGCTGTGCTGTGCGTGGTGGAGGCGAGGCTGGAACGAGTTAGGGCAGCAAAAGGGAAAAAAATAAAAGTGGAATGTAAAAATCTGATATTTATAGAAATTTAATCTAACCATCCGATTTTGTAAACTCGGCTGGTTCTCACGATTCACCGATTTTTTGACCGGGTTAACGGGTTAATCCCGAGTTCTGTACATAAACGGTTTTTAATTCAAACCGGCCCGATTGGAGACCAGTTTACCGAGTCACCGGGTTGACCCGTCGGTCAGGACCGAGTTTTAAAACACTGGTCTATGGTGATTCCTCTTTTACAGAGTTGTCAGACATAGTCCCCCTATCTCCTAGCCACACGGCACGATCAGATTTACTTGAGGTTTGTCTATGCCGAGCTCTTTATTCTCGAGCAAGTACTCACCATTGAGCTTGTTGGGATCAAACTGATATATATTTAGAGTTAGATGATCTTGGACTTTCACGGCCTGGGGACGTGGCCCCGTCCCATGGTACGGTTGGCGCTATGCATATGGGCCATTTAAGTTGTTCCCTAATAGGTCCACCAAGTGTCTTAGCCTCTTAGTGAACGGGTCAGACTTAAATTCATCATCATCCACGGACATAATTTAATCGTTGCATCGATAATGGTTGCACCTAGGCTTTATGTGTTTTACGAGTGGTAAGGGAGAGAGGGATATAATTCTCCCCAAATGTTATGCCAAGGGGGGCAAATATCTTATGAATCTTACATGTTTGGAGATTATAGTAGTTTTGTACACCTTTTTTTTTTTAAAATCAGGACACTTTTTATAACTTATTTGGATTTAAATATAAACTTTAAATATATTTGGCAAAAAGTACACTTTAGAGTAGAAGAACCGAAGTACCCCTAACTATCATCACATCACTATTGAAAAAATTAGAAAAGGAAACTAATTAATTTGAAAACTAAAACTCTTAAATTTTAGATTAGAACTCTTTCTCTTTATCTCTCTTTATCTCTCATATATATATATATGTACTAGTAATTGTCTGTCTCTAAATGTACTATGTAATCGTAAAAAATTGTAAATATTTATTCATAAATAAAGATAATGTATAATACAATTTCTACAATACAACAATCATATTGATATTGTTCAACCTGTATAAAGAATATAAATAATTAAACTTTTATATATTGAAAGTTACGTTACAACTACTGCAATATATTAATTCAAAAATCTAAAAAAATATAATTATTATTGATCAAACATTCACTATTTTAATATTTTTAATAAATTTTATCTCAAATTTTAAAAAATTATAATTATTTATTTTTCTATAAATTTCTACCTAAAGTTTATAATATTATCCTTGCACTATTTTTTCAATGTGGGTTTGTGTAACTTTTGTGAGGAAAATATCTAAAAGTTTGACACAAATTCTTATATATATATATATATATATATAAATTGTTGAGAAATTAAGATCAATTTTCATTTTAGTGCAATTTAAATATTCATAAAATTCAATTGAATTTAAGTTTAAATAAGAATTTATATTTTATACTTGACAGTTAAATTCGGCTCAATTCGAGTCTTAATCATAATTACGTCAAATTGAAAATTGAATTTAAGTTCGACTCAATTAACACTTTTATTTTAAACCTATAAACTAATTATTATATATTCTTGTTCACAGTGACACCATAATTTTTTTAAAATTAATTATTCTTTATTATTTTTATAATCAATTTCAATTTAACTTCAAATTTGAATATACTCATAAAATTCGAGCAAAGTTAAATTTAAGTAAGAATTTATATTTTATGTTCGATAATCAAATATAAGAATATATATTTTATTCTCGATAATCAAATTCAGCTCAATTTAAATTCTAATCATAATCACTTCAAATCGATAATTGAGTAAAATGAATGGATTCTTATAATTTTTTGTCGGAAAAAAAATTTGGAGTAGTTTCGATCGTTTGATCAACAATTTTAAAATAAGCAAAACTGCGAAAAGTTAAAGACAAACAATGTTAGCCCCCTTAATATATAGATATATCACAAATTATATATATATATACATATTATTCGTCTATTATATTATATGAATATTATAATATTTTTATTTCAATACAAAATATGACATATATTATAGTCAATCAACTCGTTTTGACGCAAATAATTTGTATTTAAGGTTCATTTATTTATTTAAAAATTTTAAAAATAATTCTTAATTATATAGAATCATAACTAACGATCTAATTAATGTGTAATATGAGATATAGAGAGAGTTATAAGAGAGATAGAAGTCATAAAATTGTAAAAGGTATGAAAGTCTTATTCAAAAAATTAGGAGAGAAAATTTAGAATTAGAACCGTTGAATCAATAATCGTTAATTAATCTGAGCAGCAAAAAGCTAAAGACAAAGAATTCTATCTACTTTATTAGATAGATCTACACATATATAACTAAATTCAAAACTTAAATAAATTTTAAATTTCTTAATTTGAAAATTTGAAAATTTTTCCAATTCTTTTTAAAATTCTTAAAATTTAGGATTTTTTTATATTAAAACTATTTCATTCTCTCTCTCTCTCTCTCTCTCACACACACACACACACACACACACACACATATATATATATATATATATATATGTGACCAAAATAAAGTTAATGCAAAATCAAAATTTTTTAATTTTAAATACTTTTTAAGATAAGAATTATTTTTCTAGATTCAAAAACACATGGTAAGTATCACAGTATGAAGTTAACGTCATAATGTAACTACACATCATATGCATTTTTTTTATGGTGTGGGCACCAAAAGTGTGACTCTAATGTTACACAGCAAAAAAAAATCATATACAATATTTTGCATAAGGTGGGTATCACACAATGTGACTAAAATCTAACATTGCATAAATAAAAAGAGAAAATAAAAGAGGGAGAGAGAGAGAGAGAGAGAGGAGAGTAACGATGGAAGAGAGAATATAGAGGGAGAGATAAAATAGGGAGAGAGATATTAACGGTGAGTAGGAAATCTTTTTAAAACTAGTGTAATTCTTTCAAAATTCAAACGGTTAATTATTTTTTAATTTAAGAAATCACTTAGCCATTAAAATAGAATAAAAAAATTGCCCCAATAAAATAGAAAATTGAATTCCACAATTAATTGCCCAACTTAATTTCCACGAATAAAGGAAAAAGGATTTTTACGTAAATAAAATATTAAACAAAAATCAAAGTGTATCTGTTTACAAAATATTTATACAAAAAAGGATTTATACACATAAAATTTATATTAAGATATTTTATCACAAATAAATAGTTGATGGTGTACTTTTTCACACTTTTCTTTTTTTTTTCCATTACCGGCAAAGACTTCAATTACTACTATTTTTTCTTACTATCTTTTTTCCAACAAAATTCTATTATTCGGTGAAACAAACACCCCGAGTTTTGATGAAAATTCAATTGTGGTTGCATTTTGACTTGAATGGTAACAAGTCCATATGGACAATTTGAAATTTTTTTTGTAAAAAATAAAATTCCATAATTAAACAAAAACGATGAACTAGTGTTACACATAACCCAAATTTCAAGAATAATAATGTTATTTATCAGACTCGAGGAGCTCATTATAATTACTAATAATCCTTAGGGTCTAACGTTATTAAAGGGTGTTTGTATGATCGACATTAACGGAATAAGTTTGCCTCTTTATCCTTCTCAATCCAACTCAATTCCACACAACGACATTGATCGGATAAGTAGGTGAACCTTAGTGGAATATACTAATTGTTGGAAGTTGGAATATCATTAGACAAATGTATTAGGGGATTAGTCGTAGTGTATATAAATTGATTGAAATATCTTTATTAGAACCGGAAAAAAAAAAGGAAAGAAGAAAAAAGAAAAAGAAAAAGATTATGCCAAATCCAATTGGGCACAGTTTGATTTTCTGGATAGTTGTACACAAAAAATGTATGGTGTCTATTTTTCTGTTGTAGATAAAATCTACGTACGTGGCTCAATCTGACTGGGTATTTCCTCATTGTTCTTTATCCAAACAAAGTTCAGAGGAAAATGAACCATTCTTTCCACATCCAACTCACAGATATGCTTACTAGCAGTTCATTCCCAATGGTGGTTTTGAGAATTGGAAGCTCAAAATAGCTCAATCCAGCCAGAGAGCCTGCAAAAAAAAAAAATTGTTGTATCTTTCATCCATTCATGGCTCCAACTCTCACTTCCAATTCATTCCTCTTAACCACCACACCCAATTCAAGACTCTCTCTCAAGAACCCAAGAGTATTCACAGTGTTTGCCAAGAAGGCTGGACCATTCCCACCCTTTCGGCTAGGCAAACAGTCGAACAACTCAGGATCATCCTCTGAAGAAAGTCAAGAGGAGAGTTCAGGCAATTCCAAACCATTTCGGTTCGACTTTGGGAAGTTACCGGACGTGAAATCTTTGATCCCAGTTGGGGTTGGGACTAACCCATCTTCAGCCTTGACGTTTAACCGGAGGCGTAAAGACCCACGAACGGTGTTTGTTGCTGGTGCAACTGGGCAGGCTGGAATTCGCATTGCGCAAGCACTTCTGCGTGAAGGTTTCAGCATTCGAGCCGGTGTCCCAGACATAAGTGCGGCGCAGGAGCTAGCTCGTCTTGCTGCCGAATACAAGGTTAGCTTCTTCAGCTGATGAAATGTTGAGTCACTTACATAGCCTCAATCTGTGAAATGTCGGAACTTCTAGATTTTATATGATGGAATTAATAAAACGTGCATGAAGACAATGTGCAAAAGTAGAAATTAATTATTGTCTCTTCCTCTTTCAATCTGTTTCGAAAACAGAAAGTTTGGCTGCATGGAATATTATTTAGCAAACACACATCATATTAACCCTCTCTGCATACCAAGTTGGTCATTGGGTATAGTAGAAAATGTGAGCAGAGGTAACTGGTAAAGGGGTGGAATTGGTACATTGCATATAGACATAAAAATCCCAGCTGGTGGAGTAAATTCTACTCCAGAATTTCATGGTCTATTGCTATTTTTGTGATGGGAGTGGGTGCAACGGAAGAGCCGAATTGAGCTATTCAAACTTGGAGTTTGCAACTTAATCTTGATTCTTCCTTCACCAACAACTCAATCTTGATTTGTCCTTCACCAACTGGCACACAATAGAAATGATCCTCAAGTTTGTGACTTGGGAGGCGAATATTTTGGTTTGTTAAACTACTGCTGATTTTTCTTATCATGCCTGCATCACCGCTGCAGATAATCTCTAATGAAGAATCAAGACGACTCAATGCTGTTGAGTCCACATTTCAAAATGCTGAATCAATTGCAAAAGCAATTGGGAACGCTAGCAAAGTCGTAGTTACTATTGGTCCAGCAGAAAATGGTCCAACAACTGAGGTCACCACATCAGACGCCCTACAAGTAATACAAGCTGCCCAATTGGCTGGTGTTGGTCATGTGGCCATTGTCTATGATGGAACATTGATGAATTCCTCAACCTACAATGTATTGGATGGTCTCTCATCATTCTTTAACAATCTGTTTTCGCGATCACAGCCATTAACATTGTCAGAGTTTTTGCAAAAGTTAGTTGAGACGGATGTTAGCTACACACTCATAAAGACCAGGTTAACAGAGGATTTCTCTACCGAGAGTTCTTACAATGTTGTCGTGACAGCTGAAGGAAGTGCTGGTGCAAACGACTACAAAGTAATGTAATGTATGCAATTATTTCTTTTTTCATTGTATAACGTCTTAGAAGCTTTTAATTTTGGGAAACATTATTGCTATACTGGATTCACCGAGCAGCTACATATGAATAGCTATTAAAGTTGTGTACTAGATGATGTGACATTCTTTGTCTTACTCTTATATCTCCTATTTTCTAAAAAACTAGGTTGCAAAGTTGCAGATAGCTTCGCTGGTGGCAGACGTTTTCTCCAACACTGAAGTGGCAGAAAACAAGGTATGTTTCAAGGGTAGGAAGCATAAAAAAACTTGCTACCCCCATGGTGGAGTCATGCATAGGTTTTGAAAGATTCTCTTTAAGTTTTTTGTACTAGGTTGAAGCATGATCCATTGTGGAAAACGTTGAAGTGTATTTCTTTTGTATATTATATCTGTGAACAATCTATGGAAGATGGAGAGAAATTAGAAAACATATAACAGAACTCTAACGAAGATACTAGGGTTAGAGGTCAAATGCCTAATTGCTCCTATGTTAGTTTTTTTCATCATGGATCGACTTGTGAATTGGTATTAATTCTCCACTTAACCCAACATTTCTATTTCTCTTTCCTGTATCCAGGTTGTGGAAGTGTGTACTGATCCATCAGCACCGTCTAGGTCTCTAAATGAACTTTTCAGGTAAGTACATTTCTGTCACAGTTTTTTAATAATGAATTCCTGCAGTAGGTGCAGAAATAAACTTTGACATATATATGAAAATGAAAACCCATTTGCCCCTTGCTTGTAAACAGAACATAGTTTAATTGGGTGAGTTTTAAATTGCTTTTAGTGCCATTCCTGAGGATGGAAGAAGAAAGGCTTTTGCAGAAGCTCTTGCAAAGGCAAAAGCTGAGGAAGAAGCCATAAATGCTACTGAGAGTGCTCGTGAAGCCGCCAAAGCAACAAAGAAGCTTGAAGAAGAGGTAAAAAAACTGGAAGAGCAAGAAGTTCGGGCTGCTAATCTTGCCGAAAAAGCCCAAGAAAAGGCAGCTGCTGCAGGAACTTCGGTTGAGAACCTCGTGGACAAAGCAAAAGGCTTAAGTTTGGGGCTGTCTTGGGAAAAATTCAGCTCACAGCTTTCATCATCTGTTCAAAAGCCTACCGAGGAACCTAAAGTGCGGATTGCCACGGTCAGGGGACAGGCCAAGGCTCAGACTTTGCCTGCCCAGAAATCATTCTTCACAAAATCAACCCAAAAACCTCCTGCTTTGAAATCTAAATCAGAAGCCAAGCAAACAGATTCTAAAAAAGAAGTGAGGAAGGTTTTTGGTGGCTTGTTTCAGCAAGAAACCATCTATGTTGATGAAGACTAAGAAGACCCAAGTTGCGATCTATATTTTATCTCGTGAGTCTTTCTGTATCTATGAGATTTACATTTTGAATGATTGATGTCACAATTGTGAGCAAGAAATGTTTATTGACGTCAGGACTTTAGGCGGCTTACCAGTCCCCGGTCCCCAAATTGACACGTGGATTAATACAGTCCATATGGAACTCAAAAGGCGCCGGGAGATGGCACCAATGAGTTATTACTCAAAAGAGCCGAGTGAATAAGCTGGGATTAGTATTTAAGGAGATATGACAGCTCATTAATGAGGACTTGAGTGACTGTGACATGGTTATTAATGAACCTCTGCATCCTCGAGGCCCCAAACTGACAATTATGATTGTAAAGCATTAATGGTCATAATGCCGACCAAGTGTCCTCGACAAATCTTGAGGTACTGTACCCTAAGCATTAAAAACTCGTGAATAGGTGTCCAACACCGATCAGAAGAACTTGATCAGAGATAGTCATTAGTACTCGGCATGCACCCGAGCACTTGTCGTATCACCCGAGCATTGAACGCTCACAAGAATTTGAGTGAAGAATGCTCATTACGCATGGAGAAGAGTGCAAGTCATTAAATGTCGTGATTGGACTCAAGATCCTTGCACTAATTACTGGTACAGGTATAAATACTCTTCAGAAAGATGAACAAAGGTATGCAAACGGAGAAAATACACTGTGATAAAGCCTCCAACACTCACTGATTTAAGCTTCGGAGGGGATAAGTATAATCCTCGTTGATCGTTTCAGGTTCACCATCGAGAGAATCGCTATCTCTATTCATTACGGGAAATCTCCCGTGTGCAATTGATAAGGCATTCAAATTATTTTTCCAATAGAAAAAGGATCTATCTCGAGTTCGTCTTCACTTTTCAAACTTGCTGTAACCTTTTTTGTTAACTAATGATCTGAAGACTAGGTTTATCAAGGCTCTAACACATCAAAATCTTTTCACTGCTGCTGCAGAATACCAAGAGCTAGCAACTACAAACTAGCTTAATTAGGACTTGTGTTTGCTGTAAGTTTTGTTAGTTCACGTTGATAAGGGTATGCATCTCCATTGAAAATGGTCTAAAAAAATCAAAATTTTATCTTTTTGATTCGCCGTAAAACCGTAAGAGAGATACTGGGAGGACCAGTTGTCTATTTAACTATAGTCGGCCGTTGTTCTAGTAGAGCAATTGTTTTTCCTTTGTCAAAGATTGATAACATACAAGGTTAGACCTCGTGGAAGGGTCGGTGGGGCGAGGTGCTAGGAGAGATCAGCAAGTTGATGGCTTCAACCCTACAAGGATTGTGATGAGTTAAGAGTGATGACCCCGCTCTTTGTGAAATTCTGAGGTCAGAAGCCTGTCAAGTGGGAAATTAACAAAGAGGGCATCAATTGAATCACCTCCGACACCCAACCTAGTGAGCGGGTTTAATTAGGGATGTGAAGCCGGACAGAATAACAATTATTTTGCAAACTAGTTTCAACAGATAATTCACAGAGCTCAAAAAAAAATTGACTAAGCAGCCACAATCTTTATAAAATTAGAATAATGATGGTTAACCCTAAAACACATGAAAACATCCTTTAAATACTAAACAATAAGCTGGAAACCCTAATTACACAAGGAATAATTAAATTACGAAAAAATCCAAATAAACTCAAAACTGAAAAAAACTTCGAAAGATCCAAACACACATTTCTAGGCCTTTTTTTGGCTTTAAACAATGCCTGTCACCGCTATAGGCTATAAGTCTTGTAGGGCTCGTGAAGAGTTTCGATTTGATATATTATGGGCCCCGAAACTCCAAACGGGTCAAAAGTTATAATCAAAACAGTGTCAATCCTTCTTAGACTTGAATTTCTAATTGCACTAATCAGCTAACTCAAGGTACCTCAGCACCATCATTTGACTCAGATCCTCCTGCATTAGAATGGTAGTGCACCGTAGAAAAATAAGGATTCATCCAAACTCATTCTGTTTGAATCGGAGATAGACCATACGTATTAGACAATTAATATATATATATATTTTCTGTCGTTCATAGAAACTCTTCATGCTTTATGTTCACTCTTCTTTTTTTTTTTTTGGAGTGCTAATTGAGTGAAGTTTGTCAAAACTAGAATATACCAAAACTTGGCTTGGAAGTGATATATAGAGTTCAAACTTTTAATTATGTGATGATTTTATAATTATGTTGGATTATTTAGAATGTTGGATTATTATGTTAGACTTGGGCTTAGGCTTGAAAGGGGGGGGGGGGGGGTTGAAGGCACGAGCGGGACGGGGGCGAGGATTAAAATTTACCGTGGACAGTGATAGAGATAAAAACTAGTCCCGTTAAAGGGAATGGACCAAATGTTTTAAGTAGGTACAGAGATGGAGATTACTCTCTGATAGAATCAAGGTAAGAGTTTGAAAAACTGAAAGAAGAAGAAGACATAAAAAAAAATTAGGAAGAAACATGTTTTCCATTCTCCTTCATTTGCAAAGATTACAAGGGCATATGCAGGAAAAATTATTCCTCACCATATAACAGTGTAGCTGAGTTCTAACTCAGCATTTCTTTAACAGACTTAACAACCTAACAGAATTACTAACTAACTTCTATAATCTTGCTATGTGTTATGACTCCCCCACCCATGCCCCAGTCTAGTGTCATCCCTATGTCTAATGTATTGATGTGACATTTTCAAATATTTCAGGATGAAGACACGTGTCCTCGACATCAGTAAATTCTTGTTACTGTGATTACGACACGTACTCGTCAGTTCACAAGTCCCTCTTCTCCCGAGGTACTGTTCATAGGGATAAATGACACCTAATATGTTTACGTACCGACACGTATCCCTCGGTCGGATATGGGATACATCGGTCCCTACATGTACCACTCCCCTCGGTACTGAGATGTACCCGTCCAGGATGGCGTTCTCTACTCCTGCAGAGGCTATTGATGTACAAGTCATTAGCCTAGGCTAGTCATTATGACCTCGTCTTACACAATTGGTGTCAGAAGGCACAAGAAGGCAGAAGACACAACCAATGGGGAATGGGTGCGTGACATATTGTGTCAGATCAGAGACAAAAAGACCGAGATGCCCTTGCTGACACACGACTTGAGAAAGCAAGCATTTAGTGCACCATTTCCTTGATGGTACATCATTTAATGCAGGAAGGCTCAGAAGTGAAAGGTAATAAATGTCCCTATGACTGGGCATTTATTATATCCTTGCCGAGAGAAGCTCATTAAACATTCAGCAGGCCGATGACGAAGCATTGGTTGTTCGGGGTCCCGAGCAATTAAGAGAGAAGACATTCCTCATAGGAATCAGTGCGCATGTTGCCCGTATCTAATGATCACTTAATGACCACACTGACAGTAATCATGAGTTTTTGAGATATAAATACTCCTCATAAAAGACAAGACGGTATGCAACAAAAAACTTTTTTCTCAAAAAAATACAGTGTTTTCTCTTTCCCCTCTCTCAAAGAACTGACTTGATCGTCGGATGGGATACGCCGAAAAACACTCCGGCGCCCTCCTAACTCATTTTTTTTTTGTTCCAGGAAGCTCCCTCAACCTTACTGGACCACTCCGTTGATTCACGAAAGTCACCCATTACCGTCCCAGGTCACCACCGGACCTCACAGTCTGTTCCGAGTAGTAAGGTTGATCATTCGATTGACTGACTCGAGTTCACCACGGAAGAGATCTGCTTTCGTATTTATATTGGACAAGATCCTGCACGCACATGTATAATGTATAAGTGAAAAAAATTGTTTGTGAGAAGAGGATGAATAATTTGCTAATCACTGCTCTATTATTTTTTTGTGTTACTTACATTCTACCCCTCTTAAATGAGGGACATTAATAATTGGACAACTTGAGTGTGAGTTTGGTTTGAAAAATAGTGAACATTGATGGGGATTGAGTGTCGATGAATGTTGATTGACTGCCATACTCGTCTATGTCAGGAGCATGTGAGTGGCTTATCAGACGGGGTTTGGTGGTTCTTTGTCACACCAGAAGGTGCCAAGTGGTTTTTAGTTAGAAATGAACGTCTGCCATGCGTTATATGCTGAGATCCGATGACTAGTCATGGTTCACGGCCAAGAAGCGGACTCCATGCCGACCTAAATGCTTGGACCCTGTCCATCGGACTTCTTACCAACCCACGAAGAACTCTAAGGCTAGAACAAGTACAAAGGATAACTGTAGATTTCTGCAACAGAGGTTATTGACCGTTGGCCGTACTTATAGTGGCTGCTTTCTCTTCAACGATGGTTGAATCATGAATGTTGTCGAATCGAAGAACTTTTAAGTCATTAAATTCATGTTAGCTGAATTTTTTTTTTGTCATCTATTTTTCATTATTACCAGCATACCCTTACCGCTCTAGAATAGCACCATTGGATTCATACGCCTCCAAAATAACATCCAATTCCTACACGTTCTTCTAGGGCTCCACATTTTTTTTTCTCCCGCTTCTTTCTGTATTCTCTTTGGCATGTTCAATTGCATGCCAGCACACATTCAAATTATGACAACTGCACATGATCTACTAGGGACCTTGTTGTGTTGGATAAAACCAGTTTTTTACACAAAAAAATTGAATTTTTAGTAGATTTTAAACCTAAATTAAAATGGGTCTCACTCATTGTTGTGAGTAAACTTTTATGAGTTCGTGTTCTATTCCGTGAAAAAAATAACGTAGTATATTTATTTGTTCAAATCAAATAACACGTGAATGAAAAAATAAGTTTTGAAATGGCCATTTTGAATATGGAAATATAAGTTAGGGTAATTTAAAAATTGACACCAATTCCTCATTGATTGGGTAACAAAAACTTGGTAAGTGTACATATTGTAAGTTGCACTTTAGGTTGAGCCCCAAGGTGAGGATTTACTTGAGGTTAGGCTTAGGCTTGATTCAACTTTATCTTTTTAGAAAAAATTTGTTTATCAAATTGGGTCCAAAATTCTTAATCCAATTTTAACTTCTACCTGTTAGAATTCAAAATTCACACTGATTTGAATTTGAATTTTCCCTTTAATCTGAATTTGTATTTTGTGTTTGTTAATTATTATGCAGACTTGAATGATATCTTCGATGGCTATTCAAAAAGTCACCATACTATTTATAAATAATCCAGATTCATTAGTATTCAGCACTTACAAATTTAGTCATTAAGACATTCATTCCATTCGTCATTTTCGTGATTACAAGTCTATATTTTTTATAGTACAAAACAAGATTCTAGTTCACAAGGCAATAAGATTGGAGTGTTACTTCTAATTGCGTGAACATCATTATATCTTAGGAGATAGACGTTGAGAT